CATGCTGGGTAACATTGTAGACGCTTCAGTTTTGCCCTGGTAACATTTGTGGGGCAGTCCTTTTTGGACAGTGCCTATTCCTATGATATCACCTTCCTTGTATATCCGCATGAACTTTGCCTAAGGAACAACTCCATGCTTTCTAAAAGGTCTAAAGAAAATGTAGCGGGTGCCGCTCCTCTTTCCCTTTGCGTTCGTCATTTTTATGATTTACTGGAAGATGGCGGTTCCAGCAGAAAAGACAGACAACAGTGTTCTGACCCTCATACTCAGACTCTTGGTGCGGGGTCAGTTTTCTGTCTTGGACTTACTTAGCAGGAGCCACGTCCTTTGGAATCTTCATCAGTAATTTTAAGCGGAGATGTGTTAACATTATCTTCTCTTTCAGCTGAGGAGACACAGTTATAGGGGTTTTTTGGTTCCAAGCTTCCAAGCCGTGCTCAGGGAGGGTGGGGGATTGTTGGGGGGTAATGCCTACAGATGATTTACAGCCAAACAGGCCAGGCGTTCAATGCCAGGGCCTAAGGGCACAGTTCTGTTTGACCCTGCAGTGCCAGGTATTACACAAAAACCCATAATTCTTAATTGTTTATTTTTTTTAATTGCTCTTTTGAAATCTAACTGTGGTATAGACTATTTTATTTTACTCTATTTAATTTTTTTCATCTGTTTATGTCATTACAATAACCAGGAGTTGCACATCAGGATGAGATGTTCCCATCCACTAGGATGCAGTGTATGCACAACAATCCTTTTTGGCCCAGGGGTCTCATGAGCAGAGCTGCCTGGTTAAAACAGGAACTGCCAGGATCCTGTTTAGCAGGTTGGAACATGCTTAATGCTTGCAAGGCAAGCACTTTAACCATTGAGCCATCTGCCAGCACCCTCTCTGTTACCTTTGACAGGAAAAATTGGGCAGAGATCAGCATGTCATTAAAACTTGGGAGTTAATCTTTAAGTAAACAGCTGCTTTTAAGACATTGTAATTTGTAACTTAACAGGGATGTTGAGTTCTGCAGAACTGAGAACTGACTGAAGCATTTCTAGCTATATAGCTCATTACTCTGCTGTTTACTTAAATTTTTGATCAAAGAATTTACACTGTAATGGTCATTTTACCCATAAATTCTTGTGTTTGGATGTCATGAAAGTTTGTCTTGTGCTCTCAACTTAGCTCTATAAAAACCTGACTTACAGAAAGTGACTAAATTTAAACCCCACGCATAATTTGCACAATTAAATCTTTAAAAAACAAACACACACCTAAAGCTTGGCACACTTATCAAAAAAGAAAAACAAATTCATACAATATTATCAATAGTAAGGAAACAAAGTGCATGGAAAATCTACAAGCAGAATTTTTAATTTTATTTTATTTAGTTTACACAGCAGGACTAAGGAGTTCCGTGTATTTGTCTTTTGTTGTTTAGAATTCCATTTCATTCTATTCACCCCTTTTTCTGTAAAATATTTTTTTTGTTTGATGTAGTACCATTAATTTGTTTTTGTTGCCAATAAAAAAAATACCAATGTCACAAAAATCAAGGTGAAATTCATTATCATGGAGTTTACTATACATAATTTTTCTCTATACCTTTTATAGATTACATATATTTTATATATGTATTTTATAGATTACATATATTTTAATTTTAACTTCCTGGGGATTAAAAAAAGATGAAAATATTTAGAGGATCCTAAATAAGATTTTATATATATGATGGTCAAGTAATTAAATTATCCTGATGATTACTAGAAGCTTTTTTGTTAAAACTCTGACTTTTTTTATAAAGTTCTGGTATATATATATACACAATGGGAGACCACTTGGCTATGAAAAATATGAATGAAATACTGCCACTTGCACAAACATGGATATGGAATTACAGGGTATTATGCTTAGTGAGGAGTATTATCCTTAGAGGAGGGCAGGTTGAGTTTCCCCTCTCCACCCCGAACAGAGCCCTGACAGCTGAAGACCTCCGGGACCCAGCCAGAGCCATGCTGAGACCACTCTCCACATGCTTGGACGAGGAACCAGCAGAGGAACCCAGGTGTGCGGGACCCGGGGCTGAGATCTCCAAGCCTGCTCAGTTCCGGACCGGGCCTCCTCCACCCAGTTCCCCCACCTTCCAGTAGCTAGACAGTTTTACATCCACCAACTGCCGTGTAACCCCATCAACGGCCATCCAGAGACTATAAAACCAAGCTCCCGAATCTCTTATTCTCTAGTTCTCACTCTCAGAGAACCCGGCAGGCTACTGAGAATATTATACCTGTCTATATGCCTGACTAGGAACACCTGTAAAGGTGATTAGAGGGTGCCCCAAAAGCCTCCATCTGTCTCGGAGAGCCCGGCAAGCTACTGAAAGTATCCCGCCCACACAGCAGAGCCTGACAAGCTACCCGTGGCGTACTCGATATGTCAATACAGTAACAATGAATGGTCCTCATTCCCCTGACCCTGAAGGAGCCCCCAGTATGTCATCGGGTTACACTTGCACGTGACAGGGATAAATGAAGACGTTACTAGGCCCACTCGAGTGAATTGAAGAACAACGGGGTGATAGTGATAGTGATGCTTAGTGAAACCACAACACCTTATGGTTTTACTTATATGTTGTATATAGCAAAAAACAAATAAAATTGAATAAATAAATAAAATTTAACACTTTGAGGGTATAAAACCAATTAGTGGTTTCCAGAATAGAAGCAGAAGAATGGATAAATTGTTGAGAGAGGAAAACTGTATTGTGAAGGATAGAATTAGACTTAAAGTGGGAAACTCAGTGTAACTTATAAGAATGTTGGTTTTCAGTGATGCATACATGAAAATTACACAATGTTACATAATATCACTTCCATTTAAAACTAATCAAATGCATTTTTAAAAAATCCAATCCTTTTGTACTATTTCTAAGAATATAATGGCTAAACAATCACTGTCACTGTCACTGTCCTCCCGTTGTTCATTGAATTGCTCTAGCGGGCCTAGTAACGGTTGTGAGACTTGTTACTGTGTTTGGCATTTCGAATATGTCACGGGTAGCTTGCCAGACTTTGCCATGCGGGTGAGATACTCTCCGTAGCTTGCCAGGCTCTCCGAGAGAGGAGGAGGAATCGAACAGCCGATGGCTGCATGAAAGGCAAACGCCCTACCCGTTGTGCTATCACTCCAGCCCAGATAAAACAATAATGAAGAAAATGATAATCTTGACCATGATGTATTTATTATGGGCCAAGCACCACTTCACAAAATTGCCCTGTCTTTTGCTCTGTCCACAGCAATCCTATTTTACAGATGAGAAAAGTGTCAAGGGTTTACATGCTTTGGATTTAGTGATTTATCTCAAAAAACTTTCTTACATTGCATATGATGGCCTGCTTGTTAATTTATCGATGCACTAGGGTCACTGGAGTACAGAAGAACAAAATTCTGGAGAATGTGGATGCTACAGGACTTTTATAAAGGCTTCCCCTTCCAGACACTAGCTAGTGTCTATCATCTACCACTTAGGATTGTTTCTCCCCTCTTAGGACTCTTTGTAGCAAAAAACTACCAAGATCAAAACACACTTGGTGTGTAATCTCCATGCACCTAGGAAGCCCTACCGGCACTTTCTCACTGCCTGCATTTGATGAACTCCGGACACCTCCCACCTGGGACAGCCAATGCCATGGGTAGACAAAGGAGGAAACGAGGGCCAGGCTTGTTGGTGATCAGTTGCCACTTACTCCATTCTCCCCACATGCCTGTTCCCAAATTCTTCCCCTACATTCTTCTCCCCCTGTCCCCCTTGCTAGTCTCTGCATGCTTCATGCTTCAACTCACAGCCTTGGTCTCTAGTCTCTCACCAACTCCCCACATTGGGAGTAGCAACCACACCCCAGGAGCAACCCATCTGGTAGCAAAATCAACATATGAAAGCCCTTCTTCTGTTCAAGGGCAAAATACCACTTAAGGGTGTTTCTCCTTTCCCTTAGTCCAACAACTTAATTAACATCTTAATTCTACTTATTAATATTAGCTATCTTGTATGGACACCGTTTGCCTTGGGCACAGCCAGCCCTGCCGAGTCGCCAGCTTGATTCCTCCGCTCCGTGACCATGGACCGTATGGACACAGTAAGAGATACATTAAGCTTGTAGGGTGGCTCTACTGAGGACATCTCACTATAGATCTCAGACAACAGTGCTCAGGCAAGATTACTCTTTCCTAACCCTAGCAGGGTCCTATCTAGCTGTACATCCAGTCCCTCGTCGGGACCTGCTTTGGGGGTGCTAGGAAGTAAGGGCAACTGAGGCTTAAGTTGCGAGAACAGATGCCCAGGACCAAATATCATTCGGAATCAATTAACACCCGTTACAAAAACAGCATTAACTGTCTTCTTGAGTCTATACAAAAAAAGGACATTGCTCTAAATTAACTATGCAAAAAGACCCAAGGAGAAGAGACAAGCAATATTTACAAGTTAACGGTCTGATTAGGAGATAAAGGTGATTGACCGCTTGGGGAAGCAGAGCACAAAGAGGTTACAGATAAACAAAGAGACATGGGAGCACTGTGATGGGAGTTACCTAATAAATTTAAGGTCCCTGTGGCAAGGCAGAAAGGACAAACCAACGTTATCCTACACCTGGTACTTAAGATCATATTCCCCTGCTGCCTACTGCAGTTTCCTCGGGTCTCCTGGTGAGCAAGCTCATTAACCTGCAGCGAGCCCAGAGACACTGATTTGATTTGGGGGTGATTTGGATGCTAGGGCTTCCGTAGCAGCGGCACCTGCGGCCCCGCCCCTAGCAACGCGTCGGCGGCATTAACAACGGGGAGAAGCCGGCGGGCAACTGAGGCCTCGGGTGGGCGCCACTGCGCCATGCGGCCGGCGTGGAGGTGGCAGAGGCTACCGCGGGACCTCCAGGAGCCGTCGTGACTCGCGGCGCCCAGTGGTGGTGGGGGAACTGGTGGCTCACTCTTGCCGGTGTCCGGGCGGTCACTGGGTAGGGCCGGGGGACCCCCGGCTCCCGAATAGCCATGTCCGGAGCAGAGGCGGCGGCCGCGGCCGAGCCCCAGGAAGCCGGCGCCCGTGCAAAATCCTTGAGCCCTCGCCACATCCCGGTGATCGGAGTGGTGGCGGAGGATGAGGACTCGCAGGTACGGCCGGCGGCGGTGTTGGCGGGGGAGAGAAAATGGGAGAAACATAAGTTTGAGGGGGGGGGTGCGGAAAGTTTGGGGGGCAACAGGATGGAAATGGGGGTCCGAGTGGAATCAAGCTCCCGTGGGACGGAGGTGCCAGCGCAGAGCGGATCCCCCAGAGAACAGCGCCACCTGCTCGGGGAGGGGATTGACTGTCGTCAACCTGCCTGTCTGGGGAATTGCGCCTCGTGGTCCTCCCGGAGCATCCCACGGAAAAGCAGGAGGGACCTGGGAGCGCTTCTTGGGGTGGGATGGGAGGTGGGGGGGGGGAGGTAAAGCTTAAAACCACGCGGGCTTGCTTGGGGGAAAGAGATGCAACGACCAGTGTGAGCTGACGATCTCAACCATTGCGCATTAAATCCCCGCGAGCAAGCGCTGTGCTTGACAGAGGCGTCTGTTCTCTTGTGTTTTGGTTTCCCGCAGCTAAAACTTACAAAACTTAGGGGGCCAAAAAAAAAGCTGTTGAATTAAAAACTTGAGCGTCGCCCTTATCTAAAATTGAACGCTGGTTGGAGGGTAGGTCAGAAAGCATTGGGAGAGAACAAACGTGAGGGTTTTTTTTTGTGCTTTAAAATTTTTGTTTTGTTTGTTATTTTTTGTCGTGTATACGGAATTAATTATTTCAGGTTGATCTGTTGAGAAATTTCTCTTCGGATCCCTCTCCATTCGTGGTGAGGGTGTTTAGAAACTCCAGATCGTTAATTTCATGCGCTGGCTCCACTGCTTCTCTCTAGAGAGCCATGATCTTGCCTTAAAAGGTGAATTCTATGGAGGAATCCAGCCTGCATCCTCACACTAATGGCCTGGGGCCACTATGGGAATTCCCATGGAGGTTTCGCAAAGTCTCTGGCTGCGTCAGGAACCCTGTCTCCTGCGTCCACATCCTGGAGCACCGGAGCATGGCCGGTTGACTGGGGACCTCTGCTACTGTGGGAAAAGGTTTAAGCTCTCGGAGGATTCTCAGACATCTACACAATAACCCTTGGAGCAACAACACGTTTGCAGGAGGTGGAGGGGGGTTTAGGGGAATTTCCCTCATCGGATAGTGGAAGTATTCCAATCCAGAAGGGGAGAACTTGGAGGAACTGGAGCTCTCCACACTGCCAGGAGGCTCTACGCTACTGCTGTTCTTCCAGGTACCCGGTAAACCTGAGAAGTAGGTGATTTGGGTATCTGAGGGTTCTCATTCTTCCTCGATGTTACTATTATTTCTTAAGGCCGGACTGATTATATGAGACTAGCAAACGGGGTGGGTGGGAATGTGTGTTGAGGTTTGGCAACGGGCGTCTTTAGGATGCCATTGCCAGAATAACTCAACTCTCTTCTTGTGTTTTCTTTGTTTATGGTTGCTTTTTTAAATGAGACCCCTAAGACTTACGAAACAGTGAAAGTCGCTCTGTTTCTTAATTTATAAAGTGGAATCTAGTTCTCTTTGATAATACTAAAATAACTTTTTTTCATCTCTGCCTGATGCCAATTTCCAGTTCTTTCAAACATCCTGCATTTCTAACCTCCATCCGAAAGAAAATTGCTTGAGATCCTTTTGTGGCGCATATGCATGATAATTGTCACCCATGTATCCGTGGGACATGTGCTTCCTGGAACCTTATTAAGATGTCAGTGCACCTGATGTGAAAAAAGGGGAAAAAACTAAACTTGTTCTTTCTTCCTATTCCTGTTATCACCTATTACCATGTCTCATCAATCCTAGATTATTTGGCTGTCCTTCCACTCAGCTCTTTGGTTCACACTGCATTCTCTCTTCCCCGTCTATTCTCCTTGAAACATCTCCTTGTCATCCTGCTACCTTCTCCTGAGTCCCTTCCCCTGTTTATTTCAGGACCTACAGTAACTTCTAATCTTATTTTACCTTTGACCAGATCATTTAACCTCTCTAAGGGTGTCCCCTCTCTATAAAATGAATTTGTACAAGAAATGAATGTACATCAAAGACAAATGAATATGTACACCAGAGCCATAAGAGTCGATACTAGTGTATTATTGTGATGCAAACTATAGTAAGTAAATTGAAAAGAAAGTTTGCTAAGAAGGCAGAGTATGGGAAGGGAAGAATCTTGGGACATTGGTAGGGGAATATTGAGTCTGGTTGTGGAGTGAGAGTTGAATCTCTGAATTCCTTAAACTGTTGTCAGAAGACCTTTATTTTATTTATTTATTTATTTGCTTTTTGGGTCACACCTGGCGATGCACTGGGGTTACTCCTGGCTCTGCACTCAGAAATTACTCCTGGTGGTCCTCGGGGGACCATATGTGATGCTGGGAATTGAACCCAGGTCGGCCGCGTGCAAGGCAAAAGCCCTACCTGCTGTGCTATCGCTCCAGCCCCTGTCAAAAGACCTTTAAAACAATTATATTAGGGTTGGAGCAATAGTACAGTAGGTATGGCATTTGTCTGGCATGCAGCTGACCTGAGTTCAATCCCAGTCACCCTCATATGGTTCTCCAAGCCTGCCAGGAGTATTTCTTGAGTAGTTCTTGAGCCAGGAAGTAATTCCTGAGCACCCCTGGGCATGGCCCCAAAACAACAACAACAACAAAAACCCTCAAAATTAATAAAACAACTATTGGTAGCTGGGCTACACCTTGGAGCTAGTCAAAATCCCCAATGTGGACCCATAAAAAGTACCTGAAAGTGACTTTTAGCTTTAGGACAATTGAACTTGATAACATTCATCACTCTGCCATTCCTAAAATCCTTCAACTTCTTGGTCCTGTTTTCAAGATTTTCCAGTACATAATCTCTTCTTTTTGTATGCATCTACTTTGCCGCAGCCATGAGGGCAGAAACTTGTGTTTCTGTAGTGTATAGTCTAATCAACAGGGGTACCAAACAGCACCCAGAAGAATGCCTAGTATAAGGGAGGCGATGTGAAATACTCAATGAATGCCCTACTTTTTTTGCTGAATTTAAGTCTTAACTCTACTTTTATTTATTTAATTTTGGGTTTTGGGCTACACTCAGTGGTGTTCGGGGCTTATTCCTGGCTCTGTGCTCAAAGATCTCTCCAAGTGGTGCCTGAGCATCATATGCAATGCTGAGACTCAAACCTGGGTTTTCTGTGTGTAAGGCGAGCTCCCATCATGCTATCGCTCCAGCCACATAATTCTTCCTCTGTTTTTAGATCCTTCCTATCCCGTTTAAAGTACTCTCTAGTAGGAAGCATTCTCAGATCTCATGAATGGATGTAGTTCTGGGTATGAGTCAGTTTCTTTTAGTTGTCATTTATTTTGTTGATCACTGTTTCCTATGTTTAAATTTTCTTTCTCTGCTGAAGTACAGGTTTGGGGTCAGTCTGCTGCAGTGGGAGCAAGGCCTGCATATCCTGAGGTTCTAGGGAGGCCTTGTGCCAGGGATGAAAACTGGGACTCTGTGCATGCTAGGCATGAGCATCAGCCCTGTGAGCAATATTCCTGTCCCTAGGAGATAAACCTTAATGCTTCTGTGCCCTTCACTCTTCTATTCTGAGCTCAGAATAAAAATTAAGGCCTTATAAGTAATGTTCAAAGGCTTCCATGTTCGACCACACTGACCTGGCTTCTGTCACTCCTGCCTGGTGTACTGCCACCTAAGAGAGGTCTTCGGACCTGCTGCACCCCTTACCTGGAAGTTTTCCCTTTGATATTGGTGGCATTTTCCTTACCTCCTGAAAGGTTGCTGAAATGTGAACGTCTCTTAGTCTTGCTGACCACTGTTCCCCTCACTGTTATGCATTTCTCCAAAACATTATAGTAAAGAGAGATAGCACAGAGGTTAAGCCAACCCCGTTTGATCCCTGGCACCACATGGTCTTCTGAGCACTGCCAGGAGCACAGAGCCAGGAATAAACCCAAACCCTCTCCCTCCAAAAAAACAAAGTTGTTATGTTAATTATACTATGTAACTTACTCTGTCTTCCCCCAAACCATATCAGTTCTTTAGGAAAGCAGGAAGGATTTGGGTTTTTTGGATTTGTTTTTGTTTTTTGTTTTTGTGTCACAGCCAGCTATGCTCAGGACTTACTCCTGACCCTGTTCTCAAGGGTTGCTCCTGTGGGGCTCAGGGGACCATATGTAGTGTCTGGGATCAAATGGCTTGGCCATTCAAGCACCTTAACCTCTGTACACACTATCTCTTCATCCCCAAAGCAGGACATTTCGTGTGTTTTATTCAGTATAATATTTTTAGCACCTCAAACAAAGCCTTGCATAATGTAGACATGCAATAAATAACAATAATGTAGACAAGTAATAAATATTAAATTATTATTGATTAAATTGCCTAAATAGCATGCTTAAGCTCCCTTAACCAAAGTTTCACTCTGAGAGATTCTGAGCACCTCCACATTTATTAGTTGATGTCATATCCTGTCAACTGTTTGCAATACTGACCTGGACTATAAACTTCCCTACCCACTGAGGAGATAGTACAGAAATTAGGGATGTTTAGAGTCGGATTCCTGGCATTACTCGGTCTCCTGAGCAACACTGGCTATAACCCTGAAGGACACCCACCATTGCCATGTGTGGCCCTGAGGCCCCTGAGAGCTAAGGTTCCTGAGTAACACTGCTTCCTCAGGGCCTAGCTTTGAACAGCCAGACAGGTTGACCAAGCATCACTGGGAGTGACCCCTGGGCCCCTGAGTACCACTTAGAAAGATACCTTTCCTCCCCTACCCCGTGCCTACCCCTGTTTTGGAGTAATTCTGAAGTAACTGTGCGATCACTTGAAAAATCAGGTAAAGGTGCCAAGAAAGAGTGTTCCTACATTTGACTTGCCTAGCCTGTTTACTAGTTGTGATGCTGGAAGTTAGCTCTCAAAGCCCTCCTTTTATTAATAGGGATAATAATTCTGCATTTGGTATATTAAGTACTAAGCACAGCTAAGGACCATGTCTGTCCCTTGCTTTGATGAGTACCAAATGAGAAGGATATTTCCTCTTTGAGATATGCCTTAGTAAGGTGGGAAAAATAAGTCCATTCTACAACTTGAAGCAGAGGTCTAATTTTCTTCAAAGCAGTTTATTGAACTTTAGATCTTTAAAATGTTTTGTTTTTAATGATTTCTCCAGAAATACCTTATGATGTTAATGACAGTAATTTATTTATTTATTTATTTATTTATTTTGCTTTTTGGGTCACACCCAGCAACGCACAGGGGTTACTCCTGGCCCTGCACTCAGGAGTCACCCCTGGCGGTGCTTGGGGGACCATACGGGATGCTGGGAATCGAACCCGGGTTGGGCACATGCAAGGCAAACGCCCTACCCGCTGTGCTATTGCTCCAGCCCCTGACAGTAATTATTTTAATACTTACAATTGTATGTTCTCTTTTGCATCAACTCTCTGCTTGTGTGATCATATTCACTCGGACTGTTGCAGTTTTTGCTGTAAATCCATGATTTAGAAATCTCTGTTACAAATTTAACTTTTTTGCATATATTGAATGTATATTTTAATAATTTTAATATATTATTGTAGAAGGGAAATTCTAAACTTAAGTAACACTGGAATACTAATTGCATAAAGCTATGAGAAAGTATGAATGGATATAAAGTCATAAAGACAATAGTGCTGACACTGTAGTAAAGTATATGAACATAAACCAAGATAATATATTAAACAAAAATAATATATAATGTATATAGATGTAGTTAGGTGCTAAGAATATGTAGAATTTTCCTTCTTTTGAGTATTTTTTATATTGTTACATCATCTTTTTAAACAGTTATTTTATATGCAGAATTAGATGTGAAATCTTGACAGATGGGAAAGGATAAACAGGGATTTGGGATCATTAAATTTTTTTTTTCTTTTTGGGTCCCATCCGACGATGTTCAGGGGTTACTCCTGGCTCATGAACTCAGGAATTACTCTGGCGATGCTTGGGGGACCATATGGGATGCTGGGAATCAAACCCGGGTCGGCTGCGTACAAGGCAACACCCTAACTGCTGTGCTATCACTCCAGCCCCTCATTAAGTCTTATAACAGTAGAAAACAACTGGTAGAATTTTTTTATTTTTTTAATTAAAAAGAAAATGTTTTGTGGTGCCAGAGAGATAGTACAGTGGGTTAGGTGCTTGCCTTGCACACCGCCAATCTGGGTTCAATCCCCCACATCCCATATATTCCCCCGAGCACCACCAGGAATAATTCCTGAGTGCCCAGCCAGGAGTAATCCCTGAGCATTGCTGGGTATCACTGTATCACTGTCATCCTGTTGGTCATCGATTGCCTCGAGCAGGCCCCAGTCACTTCTCCTTCATCCTAGCCCTGCGATTTTAAAAGTGACACATTCGAGACTATTTCAGGGTCAGGAGAATGAGACCCATCATTGTTAATGATTTTTGGAATATTGAATATGCCACGGGGAGTTTGCCAGACTCTGCCGTGTGGGCAGGATACTTTTGGTAGCCTGCCAGGTTCTCCAGAGTAAGAGTCTGGATTGCTGGGTGTGGCCCCAAAACAAAAACAAAGAAACTGCAACAAAGCATTAATCTCTAAGGTAAGTAGTACTCAGGCTGCATTTATAATTAAAAAATTTAATTGTAGCACTGCACTGTAGCACTGTCCTCCCTTTGTTCATTGATTTGCTTGAGCGGGCACCAGTAATGTCTCCATTGTGAGACTTGTTGCTGTTTTGGGCATATCAAATACGCCATAGGGAGCTTGCCAGGCTCTGCCCCGCGGGTGGGTTACTCTTGGTAGCTTGCTAGGTTCTCTGAGAGGGACAGAGGAGTGGAACGCTGGTTGGCTGCGTGCAAGGCAAACGCCCTACCCTCTGTGCATCATAAACACATTTGTTGTTGTTTGGGTTTGGGCTCTCCCAGGCAGTTCTCTGGAGATCCAGAGTGTGGGATGGGGCTCCTAGAGAGTCTTGGTCTGCAGAGAATTAATGTGGGGGCCCTTGCGGTACCAGGGATTACCCAGGTTGCTCCAGTAGCGCTCTGGGACCTTCCCTTCTAATCCCCATGGTGCTCTGGAGCTGTCAGGGCCATATGCTGTTATGCTCCAGGACCTCCACTGCTGCTCCCAGCTCTGCTCAGGAGACATGTGGTGCCCAGGATCGAAACAGGTCTGGCTGCTTGCCAGGTGTGCACCTTTTAACCCATGCTTTCTCTCTGGCATTAACATCCATCCATACATTTTAGGTGTTAGTGCCCTCTATTCCTTTCTACAACTTACCTACAAATAACTTTATTATAAAGTAAGTGTTTCTTGACTTATAAGCTTGACTTGAACAATTTACAATGCTATATGCCAGATCCAGAGTTTGGGGATGCAGGAGAAAGGCTTTCAATGGACTTTGGGATGGAGTATGGCTAGAATAAATATATAGACTGTTTTAGAATAACATAATGGGAATTGCGGTGGGAACTGTGGGGGCTCAGAGAAGGGACATTTGTTTTATCCTTGTTCATCTTTTGGGGGAGTTTAAGCTTGAGCTATATCTTAAAGTAGAAAAATAGAGTTGTATCAACCTAAATGCAATAGGGTGGGAGTCAATGGAGACTAACTAAATGATTTAGGGTCATATTTAGATTTTTAATTATATTACTCCCACTAAGAATAGGTAATGAGGTTGAATGATGTAAAAATAGGGTCAAGGAAAACAGCAGGAAATTTTCACAACTGAGTAAGAAATGAGGACTGAATAAATGAATCAGATGGAAAGTGCTTAAGATTTAAGAGATGGGCCAGAGAGTTAGTACAGCAGGTAGGGTAGCTTTGCATGCAGCTGGACCTGGGTTGATCCTAGGCACCCCACATGATCCCAAGCCCTGCCAGAATACAGGAGAAAGTCCTGTACATAGCCACATGTGGCCTCATCTTCTTGCCCTCCCTTACCCCTCCCTACAAAAATAATGCTGCTTTCCAATTTGGATGACTGACAGCTGATAGCAACTAAAAGAGGGGATACCTAGCTCAGGAAGTTTATCTCCTATCTGTACTTTGAAGCTAATTGTATGTATACACATACACCTGCATAGGCAAACAGGGTAATGTGTACGCATGGGAAATGTGACAAGTATATATGAGATACAATTGTTTTTCAAAGCATGCAAGTGGTGTTATTCTTGATGTTCCCTTGGGCTTTTAGAACTAATAAAATTTAAAGACATTAAGATGATAAAATAACATTAGAGTCCAGGAAGTATTCTGTTTTCAATCTACTATTTATTTATTACGTTAAGTTACCATCTGCTTTTTATTCTGCCCTCACTGTCATTTTTTTTCCCATAGATATTTTTAATTTTCTGGGATATTACATAAAAGTGGTAAGGTCATAGGATTTCTTGGTTCTCATGATGTAGAATACTAAGAGGTGTATTTTTTCAGGCTACTTTCAAATCTATGGACCTGAATCGTATCATCAAACTCCTTGAAGAGACTGATGGAGTAAGTGTGAGAAAAAAATGTTTTTGTTATATTACTTGTAAACTCTTTTCTCTGAAAGCTAACATGTATTTTCTGAAACATAACTTTCATTTCTCTTCTTTTTGTTAAAAGCATTTTAAACAGATTGTCTGATACTCAAAGACTTTAAATTTAGAGGAGCCGGAGTGATAGTACAGCGAGAAAGGCATTTGCCTTGCATGCAGCCGACCCAGATTTTATTCCTGGCATCCCATAGGTAACCCAAGCACTGCCAGGAGTGATTCCTAAGTGGAGAGTCAAAATTAACCATGAACATTGATGGGTGTGCCCCTACCCCCACCCCCAAAGACCAATCCACAATAAAACTCACCTAAAAAAACCAAACCAAACAAAGAAGATTATGAACTTTTAAGTAGAAAAAGAGTTGACTGTAGGAGGCCTATCAAAAAACACAATGTCCTGTGATTAGTAGTCATTAGTGCCTGCTTTAATATTTTCAACCTCTAAATTTTTAAATATAATTACTAAGAATAATTTTGTGAATTTGAGTATTGTTAGTTATTTTTCATATGAATATATCTGCATTTAAAAATATAGTAACATAGAGCCCCTAATTGTTATTAAATGAGGTTTGTCCAAAACAAGCAAACAAGGTAAAGAAAATGTTATAATTCCTCTTTTAGGATAACGTGATTTTGGAAATGGAAATACATCGAGTTTTGTTTCATTTTGTTTGGAGAGAGAGACTCCTGGCAGTGCTCTGGAACCATGCTGTGATGAAAATTAAACCTGGGCTCCTGCATGAAAAGCATGTGTTCCAGCTACTTCCCCACCCTAGAGTTTTATTTCATTTTTCTTTTTACTTATTTATGTTAAACTAGCTGAAAGTCTTTGATTTGCACAGCACACTGGACATATTTCAGAAGTCAAAAATACAATGTCTAGAGTCAGGTTGCCAAATTTGACTCCTAACACCATCACTTATGAGCAGTATGATTTTGGACAACTTAAGTGTTTCAGTTCACGTTTTCTATTCTATAAAGAGGGATAATAATAGTACCACCTTAATAAGGTTGTATAGAGTATTAATTAATTGATACATATATGTAGTGCTTATGTGGTTCATGACAGAAAAAAGGCTCAAGATGTGTCAGATATTGTTAATAGTATTTCTGAAAACAATCATTTCTTTTTAATTAACCTGGTTTTGATTCTCAATTTCTAATAAAATGTAAGAGTATTTGGGTCTTGTTTAAGGAAGTATTTTGTAATGCCTATATTACAGTAATTTAAGGATTACTTAAGAATTTTAATTTGTCTACTTTTTTATATTAATGAACTTTTAAAAATATTAAGAGATTTAATATTTTTAAATTAGTATTTAATATTTTTAAACAAAAAAAACTAAAATAGGTTATTTGTTTTAGGGTGAAGTAGAAGAAAAACAACTTACATCTGTCAAGAAATTGGTGCAGTGTTATCAGAATGGACTTGTATCCTTTATATAATTGTTCATTTCCTTTATCCTGAGATGGAAGATATTTATTAGATAATGTATTAGGTTCCTATTGCTGCCATAGTACATTCCCACAAATTTAGTGCCTTAGAGCAATATGAATTTATTGTTTTGGACCTCTGGAGTTCACAAGTCCAGAATCAGTCTTACTGAGCAAAAATCAAAATTGGCAAGAGTAGTTCCTTCTGATGGCTTTAGAGAAGAATTCCTTTTCCAGCTTCCAGAGACTTACTGAATGCCTCAATTTATGTCCCCTTCTTCAGAGTAGCATCACTCTTCTGCTTCTTTCTTTCTTTCTTTCTTTCTTTCTTTCTTTTTTACTCTATAGTAGGGGAGAACAGACACCTCAATACAGTCTGAAGTTAATCCATTTCTATCACTGCAGTTACTTCTATAAACCTGGTGACCCTCATTTCTGTACTATTAGTGATGCAGTATTATTAGTGATTGAGTTTGCACTGCTTCTGGCCCTCTCTTTCCCTTATAAGGACCGAATGATTATGTTGGAGTTGCCTAGAAATTCAAAGACAACTTTCCCATCTCAAGATATTTATTTTCATCTGAAAAGACACTGAATAACATTCACAATTTCTGGGAATTGGAATATGGTTGTCTTTGGATAGATCATTATTGTGCACACCACACAAAAGATAACACATTTTCTATTTTCTAATAAAAATGTTTTTTTTCTATTAGAGAATATAGAATTGAAGAAATCAGTATGATGCAAAAAACTCTGTGCAGACAGTATCTGCTTCTGCAGAATTGAACAGACAGTGGATAGTGTTAAGAGGGCCAATTCAGAGTCTTCATTCTACTAACTTAGTATTTCCAATGCTGACAAACTTCTCCAATCATAAGGAAACAGACTGTAGTATTTTAACCTGATGTTACAACACCTCCTTCATTTTTCCCCTGAAGGTTAAAGAGGTGGTAGTAAATGGCTCTACTTTTTTTCACATTCATAGGCTGACTCAGATTATAAAATGTAAAGCATGAGAGAGAGGAGTATGTTGGTGACATCTCTAGGAAGTTAACAGAGATTTGTACTTATAATGTAGCCGTTCTTCCATCTTTTACTAAGAAACTTCTAGAAAAATAATAGGAATGATAGTATTAAACCAAGAATAGCAAATTCCCTTAGCTGTAAAAAAAAATCTATGAAATTCCTTTATGGACCATCTATCATTTTTTTTTCCTTTTCCTTTTTGCTTTTTGGGGACCACACCCAGTGGTACTCAGGGCTTACTCCCTGCTCTGTGCTCAGGAATCACTTCTGGCAGTGCCAGGGATTAAACCAAAGTTGGCCACATGCAAGGCAAGCATATTAACCTCTGTACTATCTCTCTGGTCCCCATTTAACTATTTTTTTTTTAAATAGGTAAAATAAAAATTGTTTTTACCTGATGATCTAGAAAGTGTTTATTGTACATTTCTATTAGCTTTGTTGTTTTGCTTGGGTTGAACACCCAGCAGTGCTCAGGGCTTACTTCTGGTTCTGCACACAGGGATCACTCCTGGCAGTGCTTGGGTGACCAAATGAGGTACTAAAGATCGAACCTGCGTCAGCCACATGCAAGATAAGCACCCTGCGCACTGTACTATTGCCCCAGTCCCAGTATTTGTTTTATTTATTTATTCATTTATTTATTGTCCTTTACTAGTTTTATTTTATTTTTTTTACTAGTTTTAAATGAAATAAAGTCTCAGCCAATTTGAACCTTCAAAATAGTAAAATTCACCTGACTATTGTTAATAGAGTATTGGATTGCTAATTCTGGAGTAATGTATTGGCGTGTGTGAGTTGGTAAAAATGAATATAATTAAGCTGTTTAGTTAATTTTTTCAATATGTCATAACTTATCCTAAAACCAGCCTGCCACAGGAGTGGGGGTGGGAAGAGGGGTCGCACTCAAGACATTTGCAAAGGCGGTTGGGCGGGAGTGGGCGGGTTAGGACGCAGGGCACTGTGAGAGGCAGAATGGCTCGAGGAGACTAGCCTGGGTAGGGTCAGAGACTCCTCAGCTGGGCAGAGCCGGAGACTCCTCCACACTCTGCCTGGCGGCACACCACAAAAAAAGACACCCGGCTTGTGATCAAGGTCTGTTTATTTCAGCGGGAGGGGAGGGAGGGAGGTGCCCCGGGTGAGGGTGTGGGGGAGATCGAGTCCAGGCTGCATGTGTGAGCAAGGTTGACCCAGCAGCCTCTACCAGCCCTTTTCTCTGAGGACAGGTTAGTCAGAGCACAGACAGTCCTGGCCGAGGGACTCTTCCAGGGATGGAGTGGATTGGCTCTGGGCTTTGAGGAACAGATGAGAAAGGCCAGCAGACCTCTAACACCTTTGCCCAGATCCCCAGAACTACTCTGCCTGTACCTGCAGGGAAACCAGTGACCCTAGGCCGTCAGGAAGACCCCAGATGTTCCAGGACAACCTGCCATCAGGTCATGAGGAGTGTCTGTCCAGCAAGCACCTCTCCCCGCTCCCCCATCCCCAGTCATCTGGCTGTGTCAACAAGGAAGGGCGCCCCAGGCTGCCAGACATCCCGGACCTTTTTGTTGGGGTGACATGAGCCCCATGACACATATTGCTTCTTAGAAGCAGACCTGCTGGGGCGACTAGGGAATTTCCTGCCATCCCGGGACGCCGGGTCCGGGAAGAGGGGTGGCTGGGAAGCAGTGAGCCGCTCCTCCGTGGTCAGGTTGGCCCAGTTCTGCTCGGCGGAGGAGAGCCCGTTATAGGGGGGGGCACGGGGGAGACGAGATTAAAAGATTAATGACCAACTGGATTTATGGTGTCGTAGTTGGTAAACAAATTCTAAAGGTGTCATGAGAAGAGAACAATTTAATAAAGAGGTAATTAAGAAAAAAATTATGGATCTGGCTGAGGATGTGGCTTAGAAGTAGAGCACTAGCCTGCATTTGTGAGGTCCTGGGTTTGATTCCTAGCACCCAGAACTTCAGACTTCTAAATAAAGACCCCAAAACATAGCATTATAAAAATAAATAAAATTTGTTGTTCTGAGTTTTTGTCTTTAGACTCTAAAATTACTCTAAAAGTGTCTATCACATTACACAAAATAGATGGAATTTTATAGACAGAAGTACCTTAAAGAATAAGTGAAGAAAATATCATTCTTAATTTTATTTCTTAACTAATAATATTACAGCCCCTAAGAGATTTAGCCCAAATATTTAAACTTCTTAATCTGTGTGCAAGAAAAATTGAAAACCAGCCTGTTTTTATAGAATCTGCTTATAGTATTTTAAAATTATGTGGGTAAGTTGTTTTTCTTTTGCTTTATTTTACATTATCTCACTTTTATTATGTTTAAGTTTTTATAAACATATCCCCTGTAACAAAAAAATAAAGAACTCAGAAAACTTCAGTTGATCACTTCATCTAGCAGATTTCAAAGGTAGTCAACTTGGAGATAGGGGATGTGGCTTCGTGATAGAGTATCCGCCTTGCTTGTGTGAGCACTGAGTTTGATCAGGGAGTTTCACAGGGTCACCACAAAAAAAAGAAAAGAGAAAAAAAGTAATTCAAAGGTAGTCAATTTTACAAGAGATTATACTACAAATATGTTTGTCGATATTTAGATTCTTATATTTTCTCATAAGTATCTCTCAGGTGAATGATGATAATAAGGTAAGAAAGTAATTTTAGTATTTTTGAGAATCATTAAATAAATTTACAAACAATTCTTGATAGTTGTTTAATTTCTCCTTAGAAAATTTGACTAAGATATGTAAAAAGTTCTGTATCCTAGTTTATTTGATATTCCAATTTTGAATGAAGAATAAATGTCACTAATTATTTTTGCTTAATATATTTAAAGGCAAATTAAAGCTCAGAATTATAAAATTATATTATATCCCCTATTTTTTGTTTTGTTTTGGCTTTGTTTTGGGGTCACACCTGGCCATGCTCAGGGGTTACTCCTGGCTGTGCACTCTGGAATTGATCCTGGATGTGTTCAGGGAATCAGATGGGACCAACCCTAGGTCAGCTGCGTGCAAGTCAAACACCATATCCCCTGTAGTCCAGACCCAATATTCCATATTATTTATTTATTATTTATTTTTGCTTTTTGGGTCACTCCCAGTAATGCACAGGGGTTACTCCTGACTCTGTACTCCTGGCAGTGCTCAGGGGACCCTGCGGGATGCTGGGAATCGAACCTCGGTCAGCCGCGTGCGAGGCAGATACCCTACCCACTGTGCAATTGCTCTAGTCCCATCCCATATTCTAAACTGTTGTTTCTCCAACCATTTTGAGGAAATGGGAGTATATTCTGCTTCTTTGCTGCCACATAGTGGCTAATAAAGATATTAAAATTTTCATCTTGGTGTGTTTTGTTTTTTTTTAATTTTTAAATTTTAGGCACCATGGTTTACAATGCTGTTAGTTATAGGGCTTCATGTATACTATGTTCCAACACCATACGCTTCACCAGACATTCCTAGTTTCTTAAAATATAAATAAACCTTTCTGGCAACTTAACCTTATAAACTTTTCTACCAATTTAACTTTTTTGTTTGTATGTTTGTTTGGTTTTGGGCCACACCCCTCGGTGCTGAGGGCTAAATTCTGGCTCTGTGCTCAGGGATCATTCCTGGCAGGGGCAGGGGACCATATGGGGTGCTGGAGATAAAACCTGGGTTGGCCACATGTAAAACAAGCACACACTCTCCTGTACTATCGCTCTGTCCCCTCAATTTGAATTTTTAAATCATATTTTTTAAATACTCAAATAATAGGCATATGTGATGCATCAGTTTTAACTCTAAATACTTTAAGTTATCATGTATACGTTTTTGTGGCAACTTACATTTTTTAAAATTTCTGAATAAAATATTAGAAAACAATTTGTTGAATGCTTTTCCATATCTTAATTTTTAATAGGGACTAAAAAATGAAGAAAAATTATTGTCTGGTGCTTTTAATAGACATTAATATGCTAATTGGAAATTATTAAATTGATATGAGATTATATTTTGTAAAACATCTTCAGTGCTTGAAACTGCATGTACTAGAACACTAGATTCAAAGTTACTACTTTCAACATTAATGCTGCTACGACAGCACTATCAGGAAATGACTTTTTGGGTTGGAGTGATAAGTGCAGGAGGTAAGCCTTGCATGTAGCTGACCCAGGTTTGAATCCCTAGCACAGTACAAGGCCCCCCTGAGCATCACAAGGAGTTACTCCTGAGCACATAACCAGAAATAGGTCCTTTGAATTGTACTCATTATACTTCATTTTAAATAATCACATATGTTTCTCACATTACTTATTTCTTTCATTCTACTTTGCTATGCAGCCCACCATCTTTTTAGACTTTTTTTGGGAGGACTGGAATGATCAGACAGGAGTTAAGGTGCTTGCCTTGTAGTGGACTTGACCCTGATATGATTCCTGGTCTCCCAGAGCTGGCCGGTGGTCACTCATAGGCACAGAACCACAGGAATGGCCCCCAGTACCACTGGTGGTGGTCCAGAATACAACAAAACATCTTTTGGGTTAGATAAAGATAAAATTGAAAGTTAAGTAAATAAAAATAAACCTTTCTCTTTTTCCCTCTAAATAGTGCCTTTCTCACTGTATCAATAGTATAATGCTTGTATAAGGCTTTTGTCTTCTTACAGATGTTTTGATCAAGAACCCCTTTACCTTTTTTTTAGATTGTATCTTTTGATAATGATGGGAAAATTTTGGGACAAAAAATAAATTTTGTTTTAGAATTCATTACTTTAGTAGTCTAATAATGGGTGGAATAATGAAGTTGTTTCAAGTGGAAAATTCTAGCAAACACTAGAAATGGACACTTTAACTTGAATTTCCTAGTGGTCAAAATGTCTGTCTGTTATTTTATGAAAAGCAGATGATGCAGCTGGTAAGAAAGGAGATACTGATCTTTAAGAACAGACTGTTGATTAACTAGTTGCAAAAACTTAAGAAAAACCTTCTACCAATGTTTAAATTGTAAGTAAACCTACATAAGAGATTTGTCTTCCACTTTTGATAGTACGTATCTATTAAATTGCTACTACATAATATGTACTATTATTTTGCCTTCAGAAAGGGAATTCTTTAATTATTTGTGGAGTGTTACAAAATGGTATTCTTAAATCCGCCTTTTCTGTCCATTTCTCTTCATTTTGTGTCTGTTTTCTTTGGTTAGAAACATAAAGTTTATTTATGAGAGGTATTAATCCCGCAGGACTACAGAATAGAATAGCATCTAAATTTCATTCTTTAGAAAGATTCCCATAGTTTGCAGATGGTGCTTTCATTAAGGCCTTTATTAAACATAATTCATGCATTCTTCATTCTTATTGAAGCTTGCCGTTTTTGAAAAAGAAAGCATCGGATGAGATAACATATGCTGAAGAAACTGCCAAGTCAATAGGACTTCTGGGTAAGTTAAGATTTCTTTTAAAAAGTGAGGTGTAATATGACATATGTAAGATGTGTACCTTACTTAATTTTTCTAAGAACACTCCTAAATGGGGCTGAAGAGAAAGTACAGGGGGTGAGGCTGTTGCCTTTCATGTAGCTGAGTCAGATTAAATCCCCAACATTATGCATTCATGGTCTCCCACGTATTGCTAGGGGGAAGCCCTGAGCATAGACAGGTGTGACTCCAAAAGAAAACAAAGCAAAAGATTCCAAATTTAGGCACTTTTTAAATTTTCTGGTTGGGAATTAAACATAGTACACTTGATGTTATATCATATTATTTTTGACTGTGTGCTATATTGACTATATCAATAAGATTCTCGATTCTTTTGGAGGTGCAGGTTGGGGGTACACAATGCTAAGGGGTTACTCCTGGTTCTGTTCTCAGGAATTACTCCTGGAAGTGCTCAGGAGATCATATGGGATGCTGGGGATCCCATATGCAAGGCAAGGCCCTACCTGCTCTGCCCCCAGATTCTATATTATTATAATATTGGGGACAGGTAGATGCTTCTTTGCACTAATCTGTTTTATGTTTAGCTTGATAAAATGTTGGCTAACGTTTTATGGAAATAAGAGCTATAGTTTTTTTCATTAATTGCAAAAATGTTTTCAACTTTCACTTCTGTGACTGCTATAATTAGTTGCCAGCGTCATTGAGATTCAGATCATTAAAAAACAAGTTTTAAGATAAATCATAAATGATGGAACATGGTGAACTCTAGCATAATATATATAAAAATGTAGGTACCTTAGTTTTGTGTACAAAAAAGAACAGATATTTGTATTTGGGTTATTTGATTTATTTACTATTTTATTTCCTAAAGAAGAAAATAATAAGTTCCTAAGAAGTGAGATGAATGAAATACTGTTCCTTGAATTAGCTGAGATGTGACAGCATGTTCCCAAACAAATCTTACATTATGTTTCTATTTGTTAATTTAGGTTTTGTAAAGGGGAAATAAAAGACCCACAATTGGCCAAAAAAATTTTTTAATAAATATTTACGGAATAGCTGTGTTCCCAATATTGTACTTCATAGTGAAAAATGTTGAGAGATTTGACTGAAATGGATTCTAAGTTTTTTTTCCTTTTGACATGTACACCAACCCTTTTATATCTAAAGAAATTTCTTTGTCTTCCCTGTAGATACTTTGGAAGAAATTATTGGAGCCTAGGATAGAGGGAGGTGTCAAAGAAATTGAAAAACCTGGGAAGTTAAGACTACCTAAAACAAAACAGCAAAATTTAATTATTTAAATTTCAGTCATTAAAGTATAGGTTAGCTTGTTTTGTTGTTTGTTTTCCCTGTTCTGCTGCCATGCCATTGGTGCTCACGGGTTATTCCTGGCTCTGTGCTCAGGAGTGACCCCTGCCAGTGCCTGAAACACCATATGCAGGATTGGGTATTCGAGCTGGGTGTGGCAGGATGCCAGGCATCTGCCTAAAGTCTTGTATTATCTCTCTGGCACTAAAATTTTAGGTTTGATTGATGACATTTCAAAAAGCAAAATGCATCTGATGCCCTCATTATTTAAAAATTTTGTTTCAAGAGAGTTGGCAGGGGGGCTGGTGTGATAGCACACAGCGGGTAGGGCGTTTGCTTGCACGCGGCCGACCCGGGTTCGATTCCCAGCATCCCACATGGTCTCCCGAGCACTGCCAGGAGTAATTCCTGAGTGTAGAGCCAGGAGTAAATCCTGAACATTGCCGTGTGTGACCCCCCCCCAAAAACAAAGAAAAAAGAAGAAAGTGCAGATACTATAAATATATACTATAAATATATACTTAATTTTGTGGCTTGAGTGATAGTACAGCAGGTAGTATATTTGCCTTGCACACCACCGTCCTGGGTTTGATCCCTGGCACCCTGTATGATCCCTGGTCCCCTGAGCTCACCAGGAGTGATTCCTGAGCTCAGAGCCAAGATTAAGCCCTGAGCATTGCCGAATGTTGCCCTTAAACTGATATGTATCGCTATCTAATTTTTTAAACTGTCATTTTGTTCCTTTTATCTCTCTTATTATTTATTTATTTTTCTTTTCGGGTCATACCCAGCAATGCTCAGGGGTTACTCCTGCCTCTGCACTCAGGTATTACTCCTGGCAGTGCTTGGGGAACCATATGGAATGCTGGGGATCGAACCCGGGTCAATTGCTTGCAAGGCAAACGCCCTACAGACTGCACTATCGCTCCAGCCCATCTCTCTCTCTTTTTTATTAATTGCTGGAAATAGGTGTTTGTGGGGGAGGTCCTCAGGGATTACTCCTGGCAGATTCAGGGGACCATATGGGATGCTTGGGATTGCACCCAGGTCAGCCACATGCAAGGCAAACACTCTACCCACTGTACTTTTGCTATGGCCCCCAGAAATAGGAGTTTTAACTAAAAGTATTATTGTATAATATAAAATATTGAACAAATGCTATTATTTATCATTTTTACTAATAATTTTCAATTTATACTGTACTAGTAAATTGTATTTCTTTTTCTTCTAAATGACGGATATTTCTTACTCAAGAGTAAGACTTTTGAAATTTATGAGGGAAGAAGTTGGTACACTGCCTTGAGATTGTGAAACAGAAACTATAATAAATGATCTAAACTTACAGGAACAAAGGGTGGATAAGCAGGCATGGAATCTTAGGATTTCCCAAAAACTTGAATTTTTGGTTAGTTTTGCTGGAAAAATGTTGCATAATTTTTTCAAACCATAATGACTCTCCATCGTCAAAGAAGAGTTCCAGAATACAAAATTAAAAGAGAATCTTGAGACTTTTTTTAAAAAAAAAAACAGTGTCTTTTGCTGAAAGATTTTCCTGTTTCCCTACTGGCTCTCCACATCTGTCCATTTGCACTTCCACTTAGTGCCTATCTTCAAAGATAAACATACAAGATCTGGGGCAAAATACAAGTTCCCTTCCACTATTGAATCCAAACAGATGAGTTTCAGACCTGAAACTGCTACATCTACTTAACTCCAGCTGTCCTTAGTACATAGAAGATCATTTTCAGATTTCGTAGGGTCCCATTTATAGAATTTCACTAGGACAAATGCAGTTCAGTTTGAAATAAAGGTGAAGATGGTCCAGAAATAGTTTGGGAATGATTACTAAGTACTGTCCCTTTTCACTCTTAAAAAAAAAATTCTGGAAATAGGAGGAGTAAGAGTTTTGTTTTATTTGGGGGGGGGGGGGAGGCATACGTGGTGGTGCTCAGTAATCACTCCTGGCAGACATTGGGGAGTTTTTTCTATCCTTTATCACCACCCAAATAAATGTAAAATTATTACCTGTAAAGACTACCTAGGAATTCACTGCTTTTCAATATGATGGCGAGTGAAGAGCAGGATTCACCTCCTATTTCTTTCTTTCTTTTTCTCTTTTTTTCTTTTCCTCTTTTTTTTGGTGGAACCCCACTTTATTTATTGTGGATTGTAAATTAGCAAATAATCCTCCAGAAACTAGCTCCCCAATCTTGTTATTTTTTTCACTTTCAACATTTACTTCGGGCTCTTATCCTACCTTTTTGTTTCTTTTTGTTTTAGGTTCCATTCAACATATTCTTTTTTTTTATCATTTTTTTTATTAGTGAAACACCATGAAGTACATTTATAGACTTATAAATTTTTGTGCTTGGGTTTCAGTTATACAATGATCAAGTACCCATCCCTCCACCAGTGCCCATCCTCCCCCACCACGGGTCCTAGCATCCCTCCCACCCCCGTCCCACCCTGCCGCTGTGGCAGGGCATTCCCCCCTGTTCTCTCTCTCTTCTTTTGGGTACTGTGTTTTGCCAGAGAGGCATTGAGTGGCAATCACGTTTGGTCTATAGACTACTTTTAGCATGTCTCTCCCACCCTGGGAGGGTCTTCACAACACCCTTTAATACCATTCAACATATTCTTGAAATTTATTTTATGTTACTTTTTATTTTTGAGCCACTCCTGATGGTGGTGTGACTGTTGTTCATGTTTAAGTTACCAACTTCTCCTTGGACAAAAGTTAAAGTGGTTCATTTACTCCTTCTACTGTGAAAAAAAAACTCCAGTAAGGACATATTAGTGGATAGTGGAGATGGAAGTTGTTGCAGGTGTGGGAGGAGTGGCTCCCATTAAGAGGTGGGTTCCCTGGGCGATTCCTGAATTATTTTGCAAGTCACCTAGCCCCTGGTTATCTGCCAAATGTTGCACATGATTTGGGTGAAGTGGGGAGCAAGAAAGGTGGTCTCAAGACGACTGTTTCCACTTTGTGTTTGACCCACCTCGATCCGGGGAAGTGCCTGGTTAGGCGTTTCGGGTTGGACTGGTAAAGTCTGCTACAGATGCTGCCATCCCATCAGCCCCTTCACAAGGCAGCTGTCAAGTTGGACCTGGAAACCTCTTGTTCTACATGGCAGAGGCACTGTTCCCCACCTCTCAACTTCTCAGGGAGCTGTTAAATCAGACTGGAGTGAGGAATTACTCTTTGCGGGAAGTATAAAGTCAGTCCTAGCTCTTGCCTAGATTTTCTAGGATTGCCGCTTTCCATTACAGAAAAGAATTTCAGAAAAATGCAAATAGTAATGCAAAACTAGTTTTATTTAAAAAAATGCAGAGACAGAGAAAGAACATATCCTTGGCTATGATGCAGGTAGCAGAGAATGTGCACTTCTAATTTTTCAAACAGCAGAATGTATTATTATAGGCAACAAATTACCAGGTCTCTAGTTAGGAAAGAAAAATGCCAGCTTATGTCTAGCCAAAATAAGTAATAGTAATTTGATATATGAAGATACAGTTGTCAGCCCTTTTCTTATACACATTTATCTTAGAAGTAACTACTAGTATACTTTGAGGGGAGGGCTGCTGGTAGGGGACACACTTGCCAGTGCTCCCTTATGTGGTACTAGGGATCATACCAGGGTCAGCTGTGTGCATGGCAAGCACTCTACCTGCAATACTGTCACTCTAGACCCCAGTATACTTATTATATAGGTGAGAAAGTAAAGGCCTAAGTCCACCAGCCACTAAGAGATAACTAATATTTAATCTTAAATCTCTTTTTCAAGAATTTATGTTGTTGATCATGATTATTTACTTCTTTTTTTTAAAAAAAATGTAGGAGTATTGCTATTTATTCAACCATTGATTAGGCTGATTGGATTGGGCATGAACTCCACCTTACATTTTTTTCCTTTTTTATAATTTTATTTATTGAATCACCGTGAGAGCAGTTACAAAGCTTTCGGGTTTAAGTTTCCGTCATACAATGAAACACCCGTCCCTTCACTAGTACCCATTTTCCACCACCAAAAACCCCAGTAAATCCCCCATCCCAAACCCTCCCCCTACCTGTGGGGCAGATGATTTCCAAATTGTTCTCTCTATACTTTGATTACATTCAACAACTCAACACCACACTCACCATTATTATTTGGGGTTTTACCCCAACACTCAGATCTGCTGAAAAGGTAATAGTTGACAATTTGTTTTCTATTGCTGGTTATGAATAACATATGATGTCGTGTGTCCATAGTAGTGGCCTCGTGATTTTGGAATTCTGAAATTTTAACCATTAAATCTGGAGGAATTTCTGCTAAAATCTGCTGGGTTCCAAGATTTGTTCCTGAGTCTCTTGGATCATGGCCATTAAGCAGCTTGATCAGGAGTCAGAGAGGCCGTTTGTGGGCAGCGACTCAGGGTCTCGTTGGGGCGGGGAGGAAAGGGCCGGCTCCACCCTCATCCCGTGAGGCCCAGGGTGTCTCGTCACTGTGGGCCCAAACCTGATTGTTCAATGGCCTCTGGAGGATGGTAGCCACCAAGCCCCCAGGGGGAACAGGCCAAGGCACGAAACCTAATCCCACCTGGGTTGGCCTGGCACCGGTAACCTACTGCAGGGACCGGACACATTTCTGCCAAAAGTCGCTGGGTTCTGAGATTTGTTTCTGAGTCTCTTGGATCATGGCCATTAAGCAGCTTGATCAGGAGCCAGAGAGGCCGTTTGTGGGTGGTGACTCGGGGTTCTCATTGGGGCGGGGAGGAAAGGGCCGGCTCCACCCCTATCCTGTGAGGCCCCATGTGTCTCATCACTGCGGGCTCAAACCTGACTGTCCAATGGCCTCTGGAAGATGGTGGCCACTGAGTCGCCAAGGGGGAGCAGGTGGAGGGACAACACCCTTTCCCCCCAGGGTGATCTGGCACTGGTAACCCATTGTGGGGACTGGATGCATCTCTGACAAAAGCTGCTGGGTTCTGAGAGTTGTCTCTGAGTCACTGGGATTATGGCCATTAAGCAGTTTGATCAGGAACAATAGAGGCCTTGCCTTCAATTAGATAGCTAAGCCGGAGGTGGTTTGTGGGTGTGTCTCCCACATACCGAACTTTTGGCTGTTTACTTTCTTAGTAAACTTTGCCCCAAGTTTTTGGGATCTGACCAAAGGCACAGCAGCAATTTTGGGGTATCTGGAAGTCTGAAGGCACCATGAGGCTGCTGATGCACTCGCCTCACAGGTACAGATTCACCTGCTGGAGGCACCATACCCCCGATTATTTACTTCTTTGGAAAGAGGAGAGTCTGAGTTGAAGAGCCAAATGTTAGATTATGTAGAGTTATCAGGGTGATAGATCCAAGGTGGTGTGTGTGTGTGTGTGTGTGTGTGTGTGTGTGTGTGTGTAAATTTAAACTAACTGAATTTGAATCTTAAATTAGGTTATCTTAAATAATGTCATTATTATTACAGGATACTTAAATTTGTGAATAATCTCATGACTTATTAATAGCTTTTTATTTTATTCTTTCTGGCAGGTGACTTAATGCAAATACCAAGTTCTGAATTGAGGATACAGATTTGTAAGTGTATTGTTGACTTTTATCATGCAGAACCACCAAAGAAGCATATTCCAGGTAAGATTTTATTTTATTATTACTTAGGGAGGGAATTGGTCACACCTGGTGATGCCCAGAGGCTGTGTTCAATGGGAATCACTCATCTGGTTGCAATGTTCCCACATGGTGCATCAGAGGTCACACATTCTGTTGTACCACCAGGAATTCCGTACAAGAGAGCCTCCAGGACCCCTCTTGGCACAGATGCATGGCACTGGGGATGAAACTCACACCTTACCTTTGCCAAGATAAACATTTTGCCAGTGAGTGGTCCTGTGAGTCTCAGGAAAAATGTTTTTTTAATTTTTAAATTAATTTTTTTAATGGACTCACAGTGAGATACACAGTTACAAAGTTGTTCATGATTAGGTTTCAGTCATATAATGTTACAAAACTTATCCCCTCACCAGTGTACATTTCCCACCACCAATATCTCAAATTTCCCTTCCTCACCCTTTCTCTACCTCCTCCCACAATAGAAATTCTTATAAGACATGTTGTCAGATAAAACTTCCTTAAAATACCATCTGGAGCGATAGCACAGCGGGTAGGGCGTTCGCCTTACAAGTGGCCAACATGGCCGACCCGAGTTCAATTCCTCCGCCCCTCTCGGAGAGCCCCGCAAGCTACCGAGAGTATTCGAAATGCCAGACACAGTAACAACAAAGTCTCCAATGGAGACGTTACTGGGCCCGCTCGAGCAAATCGACGATCAACGGGAGGGCCTTTACCTTTTACCTTTAAAATACCATCATATTACTAGTAGTGTATCATAACTTATTACACTTGCTCCTAGTGTTTCATTGCCACCATCACATAATTGTCCCTCGGTAGTACTGAATACATTGATTTGAATAGTGAAAACACTCTTTGTAACCATGCCTTTTCCTATACTAGAACGTATGTCTTCTGAAAAACAAATAATTTCTTTTTTTTTAAGAAAGATATTCCCCTCTCGAATTTGTGTTCGGCTTCAAATGCTGTGTCATGGATCAGCCAGTTATGAACCCCAACTCAAAACTGGCTCAGTAAAAATGAAGAATAGAACATGACCTTGCTCATTTATTTCATGTTCTTCCTACCTGTTTTCATGCTGTGATAGCAAAGTTGAATTTTTGAGCTAGAAACCCTAACCTACCAAAAACTAAAAATACTATCTGGCCTTTATGTAAAAAGCTTATATTTCCCTGTGTTATAAAATTTTAGATATTATTTCAATTTTTTATTGCTACTGTTATTTAGTGATAAATTACTCATTCTTTTATTGTAGAAGATTGCTATAGAAAATACTCTACATATTTATGAACTAATTGTTACTAGGTTACCAGCAAGCTAGTTCATCATATAAGATTAAAATGGCTGAAATTGGAGGATTGGCAAAATCTATGGTCGAGTCACTGACCTTGCTTGAAAATCAACTTGTTGAGAAACTTTGGGTACTTAAAGCTCTTCAACATCTTTCAACTTCTGGTTTGTATATTATTAAAATTAAATACTATAAAGGTAAACTTTTTCTTTTTGATTGTCAAGATTATACAGTATAAATACAATTTTTTATTTTCAGAAGTTAATTGTACTTTAATGATGAAAGCACAAGCAGCCAGTGGGATCTGTGCTCACCTCAATGACCCAGATCCTTCTGGACAGCTCCTATTTCGTTCATCAGAAATACTTTGGAACTTACTGGAAAAATCTTCAAAAGAAGAAGTCATAGAACAGCTTAGTAACTTGGAATGTTTGCTGTAAGTAGAGGTTTTTAGATATGAATGTTTTTAGCCTTAAGATGTGAACTAGTGACAGAACAAATACTTTTTTTTGAATCCTGTGTTCATCTGGCTTTTGATTCATGTTGTGGGACATCTTTGTGTTGTGACAGAAACGCATCTGCACAAAAAGCTGCTTTTTGTGTGTGTGTGTGAGAGAGACTTTTGAATTAACTTTTTAACAATACTAAATTATGTCTTTAAGTTATAGAAAGTAAGATTCAATGTTGAAAAGAGCTATTGCATTTGTTCATTCAATAAATCTTTTTGAGTACTTACTGATTTTCAGAAACTGTAATAAGCATTAACAATATATAAAATATGGGGGAATGTTTAAGTTACATGCTCATTGTTTTGTCTGCACTATAAAAATTTTAGTACTAGATTGTAGAATTAAAATGATCTCTGCTTTCATGGAATTTGCTTTATGTTGTGAGAGAATAAGTAAACAGGCAACTAAAAGAAAGGATACTGTATGCTATGAAAAATTATTGCAAGGTGCTACATGTTCTCTAGAAAAGAGGCTAATCAGTAAATTATCCCCTTTTTTGCAAATGAATGAACCTCTAATTAACTTAAGTTACACAACAAATTTATGAACTCATGTGATACAAAATAAAGAATAAAACTGTTTTCACTTGCAGCTGAACTCAGTACTGAGCTCAGTAGAGAGCAGTGCTTGGGCCTCTTTCTCTGAGCTATCATTCATAGCGTTGGCTTCATGTGAAAGTGCCTTGTGGTGATACCAAAGACCATAGGTTTACATTGTATGATCCCAAATTAAGCAGAAGATTTGCTCTTTCCTTCTGGAATATTCTGAAAGCTTAAAGAAACACATTAAATGAAGTCCCTGGTGATCTTGTTCAGTCTGGTGTTTGCTATAAACCTATTCCAGAAAGAATAACTAGTAGCAGACAGATCTTAGTGGCTACGTGAACCTTATGGGGACATCACAAAATCAATTGTGGTTGAATGACTGAATGCCTAAGGCTGAAGAAATCTAGAGGAAATCTGTTCCAGACTTGCAACCTTAATAAATGCTTCCTCATGAAACCTAACCTGACTTCTAAATTATAAATACAAATTGGCGATACAGAAGAGTTTTGCTTGTAGAGAACACCTTAGGGGAACAGACATGAACAAATTTAGCAAAATAAACTAAAAATAAATTAAATGTAGTGAAAACAGAAAGTAAAAGTAGAAAAGTGAGAGATGAGGCCAACAATGCAAGCAGAGACTGTAGCAAGCCTTGATGAGGAAGTAGGACTTTATCTCAAAAACAAGAGAAGTCTTGAAAGATTGAAACTTTTTTTTTAAGGGTTTTTTTTTTTTTTTTGGTCATGCTCAGTAATTATCAGAGGTTATTCCTTTCTCTACCCTCCAGAATTACTCCTGGAGGTACTTTGGGGGGAGGGGGGAGGAAGACCATATAGAATGCGAGGGATTGAACTGGGGTTGGCCCCATTCAAGGCAAGCACCCTCCCCTCAGTCCTATCTCTCTGACCCCTAGACTGAAACTTTCAGAAGAAAAATGGCATGATTGGATCTTTGTTTTAGAGTCACTGACTTCATGTAGAGATTTTGTTGGTGAATTCTTACCTGGTACACAAAGAATGAGATTGGGAAGTGTGGAAGAGATTAGGACTACATTAAAATGAATAGCATACATTGGAAGGAAGATAAGTTGTAGATGTGCACTTTAGTATTATTTACATAGAAATACAGTTTTTTAAATATTATTTTACTTTCTAGGGCTTTGAAGGAAGTATTTAAAAACCTTTTTATGAGAGGTTTTAGTCATTATGATCGTCAACTTAGAAATGATATACTAGTGATCACTACAATTATAGCTCAAAATAGTGGAGCACCAATGATTGTGAGTATGAATCCCAGTGGTATTAATTGTGGTTGTGGAAGCTGTGAGTCTGTGGAGAGGGAATCCTAAACACAGTGTAATGTTTGTGGACTTGACTGTACTATCAGGTCATGTCATAGTGTCATGAGGCTCCCCAGGATACTCCTTACCCTGCCTGCTCTTCTTTGCATCCCTTTGGAAATCTGAGCGGTCCTCCTTAGAGTTTCTCATTTACTTATTTACCAGTATTTTCTACTTCTTTCCTTTTTGATGCTAAGTGTCTCTCTAGTATCATTTCTTCCCTTGGAAGAACTTTCACCATTTCTTTTGACATGGATGTACTGGCTGCTGGCAACAAATTTTCTGTTTCTTTTACTGAAAATACCATTTTTCTTAATTACTGAGGTATATCTATTCACAGAATCTAAAATTCTAGGTTGAATTATTTTTCTTTGTTAGCACTTTAAAAATACCTGTTTTTTTGCTCCATTATTTCTAATGAGAAGTAGGGTTATTGGCACTGCAGGGGTGGGCATGGTACATAGTACTGCTAGTCTAAAATCTTTATGGGGAAGCAAAGTGATAGCACAAGGGTTATGGTGCTTGCTATGTATTCAGCTTACCTGGATTGGATCCCTGGCATCCCGTATGCTCCCCTCAGCACTGCCAGGAGTAATTCCTGAGTGTAGAGCCAGGAAAAATCCTTGGGCATCGCTGGATATAGCCCAAACCACTCACCTCCCCCCTGCCCCTCCCCCCCAAACACACACATACACACTGGTCTAAAATGCTTAAGTCAGTACTATTATAAATCATGGTGCCTCAGTAAAGATAACTATTTGGAAAAAAATGTTACATATAGTTATGCAACCCTTTTATTTTTTTGCTTTTGTTTTTGATTTTGCTAGGATGTATCAAGGTGCAGTTTTCTTTGTATTTCTCCAGCTTGTGAACCCCTTGAGTGTGTCAATTTATCATACTATGTCCTGTGTGTGTGTGTGTGTGTGTGTGTGTGTGTGTGTGTGTGTGTGTATTCCTTTCTGTTCTCTTCCCTTTGTTGTTCCTGTAACTAGAAGTTTTACATTCTTGGTGTGCTGGACAGTCTTGATTGTCATACACCAGAGGTCACACATTCATTGTGGCACCAGAGATCACAGATGTAATGCTGCATGGGTTGCCCTAGGCATGTGTGGCAGTGCAGGGGATCAGCTCTGTGACCTGGCCTCATGCCTGTAAATTGGGCACTGTGCCACTGAACTGTCTGCTTTTTTTTCTGCTTTCATTAGTATTAGTGCCTTCAGAATGCAAACGGTCAAAAATTGGGAAATCTGGTAAATATATTTAAATAATAGATATAGAACTAATATCTTAATTTATATTAAATAAATTCTTTTTTTGGTATGTTTTCTTTGTACTAGGAAAGTGGCTTTACCAGGGACTTGGTACTGTTTGCAACTTTTAATGAAGGTAAAAGCCCATAGAACTTTTAGTTATCTTGATGAACCTTTGCATTTTTTTCTTTGCTTTTGTTTTATTCTTTTTTTCTCCCCACACAGTTAAAAGTCAAGATCCTTTGGTGAAAGGTCTTAAGCTTTCTAATTCCTATGAAGATTTTGAGTTGAAGAAATTGTTATTCAATATAATCGTGATCTTATGTAAAGATTTATCAACTGTACAGGTAAAGAGTAATCAACCACGATGAGGTGGTATATCTATAATAAAATACTGTATATTTCAAATGGCAAGATTTCATTTGGAATGTTGTGCACATGATGTCTGGCTAACTGAAATAAATTCAAAAAGGACTACAAATGCCATGTAGTGATATGACTTATATGCGAAATCTAAAAAGTAAAACAATCTGGACAGATAGTTCAGCAGGTAGGGTATTTCCTTGCATGCAGACAACCAGGGTTCGATTCCCTGAATCCCATATGGCTCCACAGGCGTCACAAGGAGTAATTCCTGAGTGAAGAACCAGGAGTAAGCCCTGTGCACCTCCAGATGTGGCCCAGCCCGCCCCTCAAATAATAAAATTTTAAAAATGTATCAAAGAAAACAAAATAAGAAGTGTAGAAACAGAGAGCATACTGTATTTCATCACTGTTCTGTCACTGTCCTCCCGTTGTTCATCGATTTTCTCTAGCGGGCCCAGTAACGTCTCCACTGTGACAATTGTTACTGTATTTGGCATATCCAATACGTCACGGGTAGCTTGCCATGCTTTGCCGTGCGGGCGAGATATTCTCAGTAGTTTGCCTGGCTCTCCAAGAGGGGCAGAGGAATCGAACTCGGGTCAGCTATGTTGGCTGCTTACAAGGCAAACGCCCTACCCGCTGTGCTATCACTCCAGCTCACTGTATTTCATAGTTACCAGAAATGGGAGTTGGGGATGGATGAAATGGGTGAAAAGAATCAAGAGGTATAGACTTTCAGCTATAAAGTAAATAATCATAAGCATCTAGTACACAGTATGAAGTTCATAGGGACTAAGGTTGTACATAGATATTTGAAAAAAAATTTTAAATAGATGGAAAGTAGACTTGTGATATTTTGCAATATACAAATACCAAATTATATTATGTACATAAAACTAATATGTAATCATTTTAAGTTAAATATATTTGTATTCTGTATACCTAAATTTATTGCCAAATAAAAGTTGTCAATAAAGTATGGTTTATTAATTCAATGGAGTATTAGAAATTATAGAATTATTAAAATGATTTTAAAAAGAGAATCAGAACAGAATGTTGTTATTGAGTTGCTTTATTTGTTTATATATTTTTTGTTAGTTTGGAAACTAGTATTTTGAAGTGATCAATAAAGCTTCAAATTGGGAATCTTTATTTTTTAGATTAAGTAAAATTGTTTTAATAATGTCTTCAGCAAAGTACCTTTTGTTGCTCTTTCTCATAGTTACTAATTGAAGGCAAAGTTATTCAGGCTTTGTTCACCTATGTTAAAAAACCAGAGAAACTCAAAATAATTGAATGGTCTGCTACCCAGTATGAAGAATTACAGTTGCATGCGATTGCCACCTTGTCATCTGTGGCTCCTTTATTAATATCAGAGTATATGGCATGCCAAGGAAATGCTCGAGTTCTTGCATTTCTAGATTGGTGTGACAGTGAAGGTAAGTGGTACTTCAAGATTTTGTCAAAATTTTAACCTACATATTTCAAAAGAATTCAATATGTACATAAAATAATATGAAAGCAATGAAAAATGCTTAAGCTCTGTCTGCTCTGATCTTTATATATTTGCATATTGTAAGGATAAAACCCTGAGATTTCATTTAAAATCATACATGAATGTCATAACTGTTGTTAATGTCTTCTCAGTTAGAGGTGTTTTTTTAATAATCTGATTTAAATATCTGTATTATGGGCGTGAAAGATGATTCTGAGGGCTGGAGTGCATGTCACAGTCCAAAGTTGATCTGGGGCAGCACATGATCTCCTAAGTATTTGGGAGATTGTGGCGCCCCCAAAATATGTATTAGACTTACCAACAATTAAAATCACATTCTACTAGTATTTCATTTATTGATTTAGTAAATATTTATTAAATGCCTGCTAAATGCCAACTGCTGTTTTTACTGCTAAAGGTATGTTCAGAATAAATAGGGGCCAAGGTGTAAGATGCTTGCCTTGCACGCAGCCAGCCCAGGCTCAGTGGGTTCAAAAACCCAGTGCCATAAGGCTTGCTCTCTCAGGCCCAGGTTCTCTCTTCATCACATATCTCACTTGTTTGCATCTGTGTCTCTTTGCTTGATCTTCAAGCATGTGTTCTTTCTTGAACACATATTTCCTCTCCTTGGCTACATGTTCATGTTTTCCTAAATTTCATCTAATGAAGATGATCTTGCCTAACTGAAACAAAATACACAGCACCATGAATGGTCCCCTGCACACTAACAGGCCTGATCCCTGAGCAAAGATCCAGGAGTACGCCCTGAGCTCAGCCAGGTGAGGCCCAAGCTACCTTTCCACCTCCTACCAAAAGTTTGTCTTCTTGAAGCTCAAGAGCTCCATTTTAGCCACAGAGATAGCTCAATAGGCTGATCACATGCTTTGCAGATAGGAACCCTGGGTTTGAGCTCTGGTACTGCATAAGGTCCTCCAAGCCTTGCTAGGAGATATCCCAGAACATTGAGTGTGAAATAACCAATTTCCTGCCCTTCAACATCTAGACCTTTCATTCTAGCTGAAAGACTGAAGTACTGGCTCTAAATTAATAGATCCCCAATCTGTATAAATATTTCATTTCATTTCTAATTTCTTATAATAATAAAAAGTAGATTGTTAAAGGAAGATAATGCATTTTTTGGTAGTAATTTTTCACTGGAAATAATTTTATATGAAGCATGTTGGAAGATTTAAGTGTCATTTATCCATAAGAGAGCAAAAATTAATGCTTATTTTTATTACCTAGTTTCTAGTAGACTGAGATATTATATTCACGATCACGATCATGACCATCCTGTTATTTGTCGATTGCCTCGAGCAGACCCCAGTAACGTCTCCTTCGTCCTAGCCCTGAGATTTTTTTTAAAAGTGCCATATTCAAGGCTCTTTCAGAGTTAGGAGAATGAGATCTTTCATTGTTACTGGTATTTGGCATATTGGGTACGCCACGGGGAGTTTGCCAGACTCTGCTGTGTGGGCAGGTTACATTTGGTAGCTTGCCAGTTTGTCCAAAGTAGGAATGAGATGATAAGATGTCGCGCGGCCCCAATGGAGCTGGGTTTTATAGTCTCTGAGTCTTGGCCGTTGATGGGATTACATGGCACCAGGGGGCCAGTTGGTGGGTGTGACCCCCACCTACTGGAATTTGGAGGATCTGGGCGGAGGATGCTTAGCCCTGATCCGAGTAGGCTTGGAGATGTCAGCCCCAGGACCCGTGTGCCTTTGTTCCCCTGCCAGTACCTTCATTTGTGTGGAGAGTAGTCTCAGCATGGTGGTGGCTGGTTCTGGAGGTCTTCAGCTGCTGGAGCCCTGGTCGGGGCGGGGAGGAAAACCCAACCCGCTCCCCTCCAAGGGGCCCCGGTGAGGACAGCCAGGTGCGGGGGCACCTATAAGATATTATATTACATTTTGTTAAATTACTTTGCATTAAATAAAACAATTCATTCTTCTGTCCATATAACTTGCATTTACAGAAGACTATAAAGCAGAAGAGGAAGTGCTGCCTAGCAAAATAAAGATTGATAGCTAACAGCAAGGATCTACTGTGTGGGAGGCTTTAAACACCTACAATTAAAAATTATTTTTTTATTTGATAAAGTAGTTCACAATATTTTATTACATTTAATATTCAAACACCAATCCCACCACCATTACACCTTCCCACCACATTTTGGATGGATCCTGAATCCCAACCCCTGCCCCAGAGCAAAATTGAAATAGTATATTTTGTATAGTTTGTTATGAAAAACCACTGAAAATGCTACAAAAAAAGTTTCCTTAGAGAAAAGAGTGTAAAGATTGTATTTCACTGAGGGCCACTAAGCCCTTCTACAAGGGATCACTAACATGTTGATAAAGGTTGAGTCGTGTGTGTGTGTGTATATATATATGTGTGTGTGTATATATATATATATATATATATATATATATATATATATAGCATTATAGCACTGTTTGCTCTTCGATTTGCTCGATTGGGCACCAGTAATGTCTCCATTGTGAGGCTTGATGTTACTGTTTGGCATATCGAATATGCCACAGGGAGCTTGCCAGGCTCTGCCGTATGGGATACTCTTGATAGTTTGCTGGGCTGTCCAAGAGGGATGGAGGAATCAGACCCAGGTCGGCCGCGTGCAAGGCAAACGCCCTACCCGCTGTGCTATTGCCTCAGCCCATATAGGTAGATAGTTAGATAGATAGATAATTGTAAAATTTTTTTTTCCTTTAAGATTGGTTACCTCCTGGGACTGGAGCAATAGCACAGCGAGTAGGGCATTTGCCTTAAACGCGGCCAACCCGGGTTCGATTCCCAGCATCCCATATGGTCCCCTGAGCACCGCCAGGGTTAATTCCTGAATGCAGAGCCAGGAGTAACCCCTGTGCATTGCCAGGTGTGACCCTAAAAGCAAAAAAAAAAAAATAAGATTGGTTACTTCCTACTTTGAACCCCATCAAATGTGTGGTACTCTTGGAGTATGGGTAGGATGTAAACGCCTACATTGTTAAACATCCTCACATCTCGGATTATAGGTACCATTAGTATCCCTTTCATCAGATAGTTAGAACACAGAGAAGCAAAATAACTTATTCCTGACCACATACAAGTGACAGAATCAGGATCTAAGACTGCAGGCAGTTTAGCTATAGACCTATATCTATTTTTTCTTACTTTTCATTTGTTTTCTGTGCCACACCTGGTGGTTAGGGCTGACTCCTGGCTGCACTCTCAGGGATCACTCCTGGTAGGCTCAGGGGACCAGATGGGGTGTCAGGGATCAAATCTGGGTTGGCCAAAGGCAAGAGCCCTACCCACTCTACTACCACTCTGGCCCCAGACCCGTATATTTAATATGTATTTTTAATAATGCTTAATATTCAGAGCAGTTCTGAACTATTTTTTCTTTAAATGAAAAATAACTTCTTAGAGAACCTCTTAAGGGATGTGAATCGTAAAGAAGAAAGAAGAACTTGCCTTACTGTCTGTCAAATCTCACCACAAAGCTATAGTAATTAGAATTGTGTGGATTCTAAGTCAAGAACAGACTGATGGAATGGAATATGTGGGAGGTTGGCTTTATCTCTGGATGATATTTCTAATCTCTCTCTTGGAGTTCCTCGCACATTCATGGAGGTGCTGAACCAGTCGATCGTATTCCTCGTCAATGTTGTCAACAATGGCATCTTCCCATGTTGCCGCAATAGTACCAAAGAGTTCCCAGTTGGTGGTCATTCTGGGAGTTCTCTTTTTGAACTTTGCAGACCTTTCTCCCCGCTCTGTGAAGTAAAATTTTGCACGAAGGAGACGGTGGTCCGATCCCATTTGAAATTTTGGGACAACAGCGACATCAGTCAGGCAAAACCGTCGATTGAATATGATGTGGTCTATTTCATTGTGGAATCGTCCACCAGGAGACTCCCATGTCCAACTTTTAGATTCTGCCTTCTGGAATTGTGAGTTACCATGGATGGTCCTGGTCGACATGATGAACTCAGACAGTCTCTCACCCTGTTCGTTCCATTCTAGGCCATGGGTTCCGATGTGAAGTTCTTCAGCTGATCTTCTCGGTCCTATCTTGGCATTAAAATCACCCACAATGATCTTGTAGAAGGTGTGGTCTTCTTTATAGAGCTTCTCTAGCTCCATGTAGAACTTCTCGATTTCTCTTTCATCATAATGAGATGTTGGTGCGTAGACAACGAAGACAACGTAGAAACTGCAGGCAGTGAGCCACATCTATTCAAATGTAAACGTCCGATTCGGGTTGTTAGGCATTCAAATGAATCAATGCTCTTGGCCAAGTTTGTGTTGACAAGGACACCGACGCCTCCAACACCTCTTTTATCGCATGTTCCGAGGAACAATTCTTCTCCAGTGTCGAAAACGGCATGGTGAGATTCGTGTCTTCTTGTCTCGGTCAGACCAATGATGTCGTACTTGATCATTCGCGCTTGTACCATCAGGTCCTCGATGGATGCATCTGATGCTAGCGTACGTGCATTGAAAGTACAGACGATCATTTTTGTCTTCCTTCGTTGTGGCAGCCTAGGTCGGCCTTGAGATTTTGTCGGCCTCTCCTTTCTCATCCTTCTCAGTGCTGCCATGTCGGTGAAGCCTTCAGGGTCAGATGAATGAGACCAGTTGTAGTTACTGGTTTTGGCATATCGAATACACAGCAGATAGCTTGCCAGGCTCTTCCGTGCGGGCGGAATACTCTCGGTAGCTTGCCAGTCTTTCGAGAGGGATAGAGGCTTTTGGGGTGACCTCTAATCACCCTTGTAGGTGTTACCATATTTGAACCCTATCAAATATGGTACGACAATTCCGGAAGATGGGTATTTAGTGTTTTATGATGTGTTGCGTGGCCGCTTGCGGCCGCGCGGGTCCAGAAAGCATCCTGGAGTGTGGCGACGGCTGGGTAGTGGAAGTAGTGTCCACAAAAAATCGCCTATCTTCGAAAACTCTTGAGCTAATTCGCCAGCGTGGTTTGGCGCATGCCTCAGGCAACCGCAAGCTAACGTCCCAGCTCGCAAAGCAGTGCAGAGATGCGATCAAGGAAGACCTCAAAGAGAGAAGAGCAGAAGTACTGGTAGATGCGGCAGAAGCCGGGAAAAGTATTCGTAACGCCCGCCTGTCCTTCGCCAACTATAAGACCAAGATGACTGCCCTCCGACGTCCTGATGGATCCATCACATCCTCCAGAACGGCAATGGAGAAGATTATCCATGACTTCTACTCAAATCTCTTCGATAGCCATGTCTACTTGCCGACATACCAAATTCCACAGGATGGATATGTCGTTCCCAACGTTCTCCCTTCCGAAATCCGACACGCCATTTCATCGGTAAAGAAACAAACAGTACCCGGCCCAGACAAGGTCAGACCTGAACACCTGAAGAACCTGCCGTCAGTACTCATCAATACACTGGCTCAGCTCTTCACTCGCTACCTGTCTGAATGCAAGGTTCCGTCCCAATGGAAAACCAGCAGGACCATACTACTGTTCAAGAAGGGAGACATCCATGACATTGGCAACTATCGCCCGATCTGCCTATTGTCTGTCATCTACAAGTTGTTCACTCGAGTCATCCTAAATAGGATTGGCAGAACACTAGATGAAGGACAACCATGCGAGCAAGCAGGGTTCCGCAAAGGATTCAGCACCATCGACCATATCCACACAATAACCAAGCTCATTAAGGTTTCTCAGGAGTTCAAGATGCCGCTCTGTTTAACGTTCATTGATTTAAAGAAGGCCTTTGATTCTGTTGAGACGGAAGCGGTCATTGAAGCCCTAGCCAATCAGGGCATTCAAGCCCAATACATCAGGATCCTCCGTGAGCTGTATTGCGGATTCACTACCAGGATCTCACCATTCTACAAAGAAGTGATCGTTGATATCAAGAGAGGGCTGCGGCAGGGTGATACCATTTCACCGAAACTCTTCAGTGCCACCCTCGAGAACATCATGCGACGACTGGAATGGGAAGGAATGGGAGTGAAGATAGATGGTCGGCAACTACACCACCTCCGCTTTGCTGATGACATTGTTTTAATAACACCAAACATCAGCCAAGTGGCACAAATGCTGGCCGACTTTGACCGTGAGTGTGGAAAGGTAGGACTACAGCTGAATCTTACGAAGACAATGTTTATGAGAAACAGCCTTGTTCCTGACGCCCCATTCGCTCTCAATGGAACGACCATCTCCGAATGCAACATCTATGTGTACCTAGGTCGAGAGGTCAACATGACAAATGACCTGGCACCCGAGCTGCGCAGGAGGAAGAGAGCGGCTTGGAACGCCTTCAAGAACGTCGAAGAAATAGCTAAGAGGACGAAAGAACCTCCAGCTCTGGGCACATCTCTTTGATTCCACTGTTCTTCCTGCATTAACATATGCCTCAGAGACCTGGGCCCTACGCAAAGAAGATGAGAACGCTATTCAGGTCTCCCAAAGAAGAATAGAAAGAGCTATGCTTGGAATATCACGTTTCACTCAAATGAGAGAAAGAATCTGGAGTTCTGACATCCGTCGACGATCAAGAATCAGGGACGCTGTCTCATTTGCCAAGGTGTCGAAAATCAGATGGGCTGGTCACGTAATGAGATTTAAAGACGACCGCTGGACTAGAGCTGTTACCGACTGGATTCCACGGGATGTCAAAAGACCGTGTGGCCGCCCACCTACCAGATGGGCGTGAAGATCAGACTTCTTCGTGAAGATCATGAACGATCGGTTTGAGGCCCTTCATGTTCCCGGAGCAAACAGATGCCATTGGGCTACACTAGCATGCGACAGGGACAAATGGAGACGTTACTGGCGCCCGCTCGAGCAAATCGACGACTAACGGGAAGTTAAGTGATTTAAGTGATTAAGTGATATTTCTAATCTATGATTGAAGGATGGTGTTGAAACAAATAGCCCTTGAGGTTAAAAAACTAAACTTTGATCCTTTCACCTTATTTTTAAACTCCATTACAGTGTTAATTAAGAGGCCTACCTATGAGAAATTAAAACTATCAAAAAAGTTTAGAAGAAAAATAGAATACTGTACTTGAGATTACAGGGTAGTAAAAAGTTTTTGAAAGACAAGCCTTAGACCATATAGATAAGGCTTGATGCATTTACTATGACTTAGAAATGTATGTATGAAAAAAACAAATCTACAAATTGAGAGAAGGCATTTGCTACACTTTGAACTAATAAAGAATTAAGTTCAGGTTCATAATAAATTTGTACATATGAAAAATGAGTGCAAAGAATAGTCTGCTAAATAAAAGAAAAAATGTAAATTTTTCAGATCAGAATATAAGAGATCCCACTGTAGAAAAACATACATTAAGATAGCAATGTGCTGTTTCACATTTATCAGTTTTAGGGAAATCTGTTACCTTTATATATTTATCTATATGGCCACTTTGGGAAACAGTTTGTCAACTTTAATAACATTTTATGTGGGCATACCTATATGATTCTGGTGTCACTCAGTGGAAATTAGACATGAACCAGAATATTGCAGTTTGTTGTTTATACTTGTGAATGGCTATACCTTGAGTTATTTAAAAGTTAATGTCAAAAACAACTGTTTCATCTAAATCTGTAGCAATGTGAGTAATAAATTTTGTTTTGTTTTGGGACTACACCTGGCAGTGCTCAGGGGATACTCCTGGTTGTACACTTCAGGGATTACCCTGGCGGGCTCAGGGGACTATATGGGATGCCGGGGATTCAGCTGCATATAAGGCAAATGCATTATTCACTTACTATCTCTTCAGTCCCAATCTGACTAATAAATTTTAAAAATAAAATTAAGGCCTGGAGAGATAGTACAAAACAGGTAAGATGCTTGCCTTGCACACAACCCACCTGATTCGATCCCCAGCATGGCTTATGGTCCCCAAAGAGTGATCGTTAAGCACAGTCAGGAGTAGTTCTAAGCACTACAGGTTGTGGCTTGAAAATTCAAAAACAAAAATTTTAATGAGATAAATAGAAGTAACAAAGCAAGTTGTAAAAGAGATGCAAAACATGATACATTTTTTTCTTAGTTTAAAAACAAAACAAATTTGAATAAAGGGGCCCAGAGATAATGACAGTGGTTAGGGCACATACCTAGCATGCACCGCCTAGGTTCATTCCTGGCACCACATGGCCTCTGGAGCATCCACCACTGGGTGCAGACCTGGAGGCCTCCAGCACCACAGGATGGCTCTGGTATCCCTGGCACCACAGGAAGAGTATGAGCAGACCTCATATTTGGCCCTTTCATTGAACCACTGACCTGATTGGTTGAGAATGCCAGTGGGGTTCCGAACCTCCTGAGCATCCCTTGGGAGACATCCCCTTCTCCAATTTTTTTGAGTAAAATTTTTAAGCAAATATTTATATAGGAACGAGAAGGAGAAAGGGGAAGGATAATACTCAATTTTCTAAAAAGTAATCTTGACATCTATTTAATGTGTAGCTGATATATTGTTTTATATGTTTCAAATGTTTAATATTTCTGATGTAAAGTACATTTTGACAATTTCTCCACAGATCCCTTCTTTAGCCATGGTAACAGTTTTCACGGTTCAGGTGGCCGAGGCACCAAGTTTGCCCAGATGCGTTATACTTTAAGACTCCTGAGAGCCATGGTCTACCTTGAGGATGACACTATAAACAGTGATCTTTGTGAAAAGAGAATAATTCAGCAACTGATAGGTAAAACACAATATGCTCGTGCACTGGTGAAAGAATATAACGTTATTTATTTATTTATTTTAGATTTTTATTAGTGAAACACCATGAGGTACAGTTGTAGATTTACAAATTTTTGTGCTTGGGTTTCAGTAGACTTTAGAAAGATTACAACTTTAGAGATTTTTCCTGAAATGTTACCTATAAACTTGTTACACATAAATTTATTATATATAGTGGGAAAATAGCAAGTCTTCGTCTAAGGAGAAAATAAAGTGATTATATAGAAAGAAGAAGCCTATCAGTGGTCAGCATGGTTGGGGTCTTAGAAGATGCTCTTGATAATGACTCATAGAGCCCCCTCTGTCTGTGACATGTCTCTAAATTCAGCCTCCTGAATGCTCAACTAGCATCCTTTGAGTCAGATCCTCACCTGGAATTGTTTAACAGGACCAGGACATGTCAGTTCAGGGCCGTCTTTGGAGACAGGCTATGATATCAGGGTCTCCTGCTTTGAAACATAGCCCATTCCTGCTATTACAATGTCCCATTGAATATTAGGAAAATTTTATTTATCTCTATTTACATTTTAAAGGAAAACTTCTTTGAACTCAGGTTTTACTGAAAAATCTCATTTCATCAGTGTTATTGACTGTTTTAGGGTGTTTTTTAATTCTGATTAAAGTAGGGAAGAAATTTGGAAAACACTTTTATCTAAAATGATTGGAGATATATTTAGATAGACACCAGAAGAAGATGCAGAAATAAGTGACACAGAGAGGAAAGATCTTGCTTAAAATTAACTCATTAGAAGAGATAAGCTGATATTTTGGACATATATTTAGAAGGACGCATCCCTGTCTCATGAAATTTTAAATAATTTTATTTTGCTTCGTTGTTTGGGCCACACCTGGCAGTGTTCAGGGCTTACTTCTGGCTCTTTGCACAGGGACCATTCCTGGCAGTGGTTGGGGACCTTGTGTAGTGCCAGGGAAGGGAGCTGGTTTGGCCATGTGCAAGGCAAGTGCCTTACTTGCTGTATTATCAGGCTCAAATTTTAACATCATTTTTAATAATTTTGATTGATGAGTGGAGTACCAGGGTGTTAGGCCATTGTTTACTGACACTCATTAATTATAAAAATTAATTATAAAAATTCAATACACGGCCACTTTGTACTTAGATCTCAAGTGGTTATGCTGCTTGCCTTGTACGCATCTGACACACACTTGATTCCTGGTATTATGTAGTTCCTGTTGAGTATCACCAGCTGCGGACCTGGAAGCCCCCAGCACTACTGGGTGCACATGTTATCCTTGGCAGGGGCACCCAAGCAGTATCTCATCCTCTGGACATTGCATTGTGCAACTGGTCCAGTTGGCCGAATTGTTCTTGGGGGTCCCAGGCTTCCTGAGCAACTCTTGGGAGTCCATCCCTTAAGACCAGAATTCATGTGTTATCTTTGTCTAGTATTTAGGTAACTATGTAATGAAAATGGCCTTTTAAAAATAGTTTTTCTTGGGCCAGAGATAGTACCGGGGGTAAAGTGATTTTCCCTGCACAGGACTAACCTTGTTTCAATTACTATACTACATATGGTACTGCTGAGCACTGCCAAGATTCACTGTTGAGAACAGAGTCAGGGATGGCAACCTCTGAGAACAGCCAGGTATGGCGTAGGCTCCCTCACATGTCCTAAATGGTCTAGCTGAAATTATATAGGGAAATTTTTGAGACAATAAATACAATATCAAGTAACTTTATGTTCTTTAATTACAGGAATCTTTAAAAATACAATAAACAAGCCTCATGATAAGGATGAGGCCATTGTTTTGGAAATTCAATCTGATATATTTCTTATCTTATCTGGTCTTTGTGAGCATCATCTTTCTAGAAAGGTATGAATGCCTGTGTCTCAGTTTGATTTAAATCTTCAAGTCACCTAGCACTAACCGTATAGAAATACTGGTGTTTTTTTCAATCCTTTGAAGAGTTAAAGTCCAAGGGTCTGTCTTTAACTGCAAGAACTTTGTTTCATATTCTGGATACAGTCTATTCCCTTGGGTTGTGTCTTGGCATACCTTCAGTGAGTGAACTTGCCAGGTTTTTCTCTTTCTCCTTCTGACTTTACCCTGAAGGTCCAATTTAGCTGTAGCAGTTCATAAGATTTCATTCTTTCTTAGACCTGCGTAATGTTTCTTTTTATAACTGCGGTTTAGTTATTTACCTTGAGTGTTATTGTTCTCAGATTTTAGTTTAATATGGTTTTAGCTTGTTCGTTTTTTTTTTTGTTTGTTTGGTGGGGACCTCACACTGTGTGGGCAGTAGTCAGGATTGCCTCTGTGCATACACAGTGGTAGGGGTTAAGCTCACAGCCTTGAGAGCCTGTGTCCTAAACCACTGAGCCATCTTCTAGGCCCTTTCTCACTGGGAATTTCTAACAACAGAGCTGTCAGGATTGCCTTAGTATGTGAGGACAGTACTGGGAGTTTGAACTTTGAACTTTGAACTTGCTGGATAAGCACTTAAAGCCACTGAATCATCTGGGACTGAATTCAATAAATCTTGACAAATCGATACACCAATTTAACTAATATCAAACCAGGGATCCATCTAAGGCATATGTTCTACTTTTGAGCCACATCCCCAGCCTTTATGCCCTCTCTTAAAATAATTGACTTTTAATAATTTGTCTTATATGTTTAGAATAGTTTACAATTTTTTTTGTTTTTCCTTGTATTTATTTTATTTTCTGAACTTTATTTAAGCACCATGGTTTACGAAGTTGTTTCAGGTATTCAGAGTTCTCACACCCATCCCACTACCAATGTGATCTTCCCTAAACCATTGTCTTCAGTTCCTCTCCCCCCTCCCCCAAAGCCTGCCCCCTTAGCAGGCACAAAATAAGTTTAATTTTATATGCTTGTTAGAACAGAATGGCTAATGGAATTATCAAAGAATACTTAAGTAGAAGAAAATTTATGAAAATTGTTTTTTACAATAGGGTCATTCTCTGGCAAAACACAGTACCCAAAAGAAGAGAGAGAGAACAAGGGGGAATGCCCTGCCACAGCGGCAGGGTGGGACGGGGGGGGGGGGGGGATGGGGGGAGGGATGCTAGGACCCGTGATGGGGGAGGATGGGCACTGGTGGAGGGATGGGTACTTGATCATTGTATAACTGAAACCCAAGCACAAAAATTTATAAGTCTATAAATGTACCTCATGGTGTTTCACTAATAAAAAAATGATTAAATTAAAAAAAAAATAAAGTCAATGGCTGAGGGTTTACTAAACTGTTTCGTTGCTAATTGAGCCTTCTGTTATTGTTTTTGTTTATTGAGCTTAATTGGCTTCTGTGTTACTCTCCTATCTAATTTGGTGTGCTCCTACCGGTGTGGCTGTGGCTGCTGGGGCTTTGGCAGGTTGGAGACTCAGCCTGTTCCCCCTTCTGAGAGCACCCGAGAGTTTTCAGCCTGAAGACTGGTATACCCATGAGTTTTAGTGGCTTGGCTTGCATCTCTTTCAAGATTAGTCATGAAGCTGGTCATTGTTTACATAGCAGCTGTGGATGTGTGTGTGGCTACTGGAGCTTCCAGAAATATGAGGATTGGGGAGAGGCTGTCTGCCCCCTCTCTGAGAAGACTCCAGAGTTTTCAGTTGAAAACCGGTATACTTGAAAGTTCTGTCAGCTTGGTGTGTCTGCAGAGATTTATTGTGAAGCGGTGAACTACAGGTTTGGTGGCAGCTGTGGAGTGTGGGTGCATCTGCTGGGGCTTCAGCAGGGTGGGGACTCGGCTCACTCTTCCCTCCCCCCCCCGCCCTTTGGGGCGGGGGGGGGGGTGGGGGGAGAAATTTTAGCCTGAAGACTAGTTTGCCTATGAGTTTTACCATGAACTTAGCGGCTTGGCTTGCATCACTTCTGAGATTAGTCATGAACTGAGCCATTATTTACAAGGAGGTGGCGGTAGAATGTTCAGTTTTTTAAAAAAAAATATTAAAAGTACAGTTTCTCTAACAATGGTATATTTGTCTTATGGAGTAAGTTTCAGGTGATTGGATAAAGTGTTGAAAGGAAGGGATTGTTTATATCAAAAAATAATTTAAAATAAATTTCTTAGGAAATTTTTGGAACTGAAGGAGTGGATATAATTCTACATGTAATGAAAATAGACCCTAAGAAATTACAGAGCGGATTGGGTTATAATGTACTTCTTTTTGCTACACTGGACAGCATTTGGTAAGTATAACTGTATCTAAGTTAGATGTAATCACAGTGGAAGGAAATTGCCTTTAGAGCTCTGTGTCCCATTTTTCTTCCCTCAAAACCACACTAGAAAGATCACTAAAAAGATGGCCTTTTTTTATATATAATTTATTTATTTATTGAATCACTGTGGGAAAAGTTACAAAGCTTTCAGGTTTAGGTCTCGGTCATGCAAATATCAAACACATTTTCCTTTACCAATACTTATTTTTCACCACGAAGAACCCCAATAAACCCCCACTCCCCACCCCTCCTGTGAGGCAGATGAATTCTAGTTAACACTCTATCTACTTTGACTAGATTCATTGTTTCGATAAAAGATGCACCATTATTATTTAGAGTTTACCCCCCCCCCCCCCCAAATCAGACCTGCTAAAAAAACATTGTGAAATGATTTGCTTTCTACAGCTGGGTTCAAGAGTTAAATGATGTTGTGTGGCTGCAATAGCGGCCACGCGGTTTTGGATTTCTGCTATTTTACTTATTAACCCTGGAAGTATTTCTACTGAGAGTCAGATAATTACGAGATTGGTTTCTGTGCTCTGGAGCCATGGCCGTGCTGGAGAGCTGCTCGTGGGGGGCAACTGGTGACCTTGGTAGGGTGTGAAGGACGAGCCGGGAACGCCCCCCTTCCCATGAGGTTTTAGTCGCCCTGTCACCACCGTCTCATATCTGGCTTTCCACAAAGCTCCCAAGCGGCTGAAAAGATGGCCTTTTTAATAATCCAGATGTGAAATTTACTATTATACTTTGAAAGTTTCCATCCCTCAAATAAAGCCATTCTTGTATCTAAATTTGTCTTTATTTTTATGATTTGAACCTATTCATTTTTGCCTGGTCTGGGAATACTGAAACATCTAATATCAGTTATATAGTATTCATAGGCTGGAAATATGTTGAAGTCCTCATTTCACTTTGTTTCAAGGAGTTAAAAACTAATAGATTATGTTTCTTACCAAGATCATTTCCAAACTTTTTAAAAAGTTATTTTTATTAAAACACCATGACTTACAAAGTTGTTATAATGAACAGTTGTCTCAGGTATTTAGTGTTCCAAAACCATCAGTGTGACCTTCCATCACCAATGTCCCCGTTTTACCCCCCATCCCTAACCTGCCCCCTTTAGGCACATTATAAATTGACCTTATATTGTTCCAACAAAACTTTAAGAAATGGTGAATAGAATGATCAGAAAAAATCAATAAAAGCCAATTTATGGTTGCTATATGATTTTAACACGTAAATAAGGAAAATAAAACCCTTTAATACAATATAATACAATGCTTATTCTCATTTACATAAGTAAGTTCTCAACTCTGGAATCGAATATTTAATAAAACTTTTAAAGAAATTCTGTGCTAATATATTTTGAAGTTTGCATGAAACAGGTAAGACCTACTAATGTAAATTTTCCTCCCTACATGTTATATAAACATTGTGGTTTGCAAAGTTGTCCATAATGATTTGTTATAGGCATTTAATATTCCAACACCAATCTCACAACTATTATCACCTTCTCTCCACCATCGTCTCCAATTTTTCCAACCACCCCTCAAGGCTTCCCTCACAGTAGGTCCACAATAATTTATTTTATATTGCTTGTTATCAATAGATGGCTAACAGAATGATTAAAAAATTTCCTTAGAAGAAAATTAGTATAAATTGTTTTATCTCACCATGGAGACATGAAGTCCTTATATGAGGGATTACTAAGAAGCATTCTGTGTTACTGTTTGGTTAGTTGAATTGGTTGCCTTCTATGTGATATCCCATCTAATCTGGAGTGCTACTATTAGATTATCAGTGTTATAGATTTTGGAAATGTCACATGACTACTAAGGAAGCCACCTACTCCAGGAAGTCCAGAACTTTAAACTGAGTGATACAGCTGGAGTTAAATTTTTAATCGGGCAGTGTCTTTGGGTGTGAATGTGACAGCAGAGGAGTCCCTACAGGTATTCCATCCTGACTCTGAGAAAACCTAGAGACTTCAGTCACAAAAACCTGCATACCTGAATTTGCAGCAAGTTAATTTCTGGGTGAGGCTTGGTTCCAAGACAGTGGAGTCTGGCTGTAGGCATGGCCAGAGAATTTGCAGTGTGGGAGGGAGCAGCTGCCTGGGCTCTGTTTTGGTGGGCCCTGGGCTTTCCTCCTCCACCCAGCCTGTTCCAAGTGCCTGGATATCTCAGCCATGTGTGAGTGTCCAAAGGATTTTTGGTGGCTGGTTGATCTCTTTCAAGATTTACTGAGTCTCACTTCCAAACTTTTTAGTATTCCTAAGGACAAGAAAAGATACTCTCTTAACTTTGTTTATGGAATTTTATGTTGGAGAAAATGACTTGTCTTTCATTTAACACTTAACATTTCTTTTGTTTTTTTTTTTTTGGATGAAATTTATGTGCCTATTACAACACATACTTAAAAATAAAAACAAATGACTATAGGCCAAGTAAATCTAGCAGGCATAAACACAATAATCTTCTTAATAGCTACATAATATGTGTTTTTTCAAGTACTGTGTTACTGTGATTCAAATAATAATCAGTTATTGATATATTCCTAGTACAGAGTTCCTAAGTTCTTTTAATTTTACAATTTTGTTGTAATAGTTGTAATGAAGTAGATAAATCTTGCAAATGTTAAATTTGTTAAGAGCAAAAAGTTAAGGAAAATATAAGTGGAGTATCTGAATAGATCTAGAGAAGTGAAAAGTATGTTTTATTCAAATAAAAGGAATATTAACTTTATGTTAGGAACTATTATATATACTGCTTAAATGTCTGCATTAATAAGTATTATAATAAAAATAATCTGTGTATGTTAAAAAAACACCTGATTGGTTATATAACACAATATAAATGAAATATTAATTTATTATGCAAATATATACAATTTCTTAGTAGTATAGGAGTAAACAAACATTTCTTAATCTAGTAGAGGGCAACCACAAAAACAAAGACTGAATGCTATACTCAAATCTGAATAGTAATCTATCTGAATGATAATCTAGCTGGGTTGATCATTCTTGGACAGGTATTGGTTTTATTGAGTTTTTGTACCATGTTCCTCCATTTTCTTCTGACTTGTAGAATCTCATTTACTAAACTGTTGTGAATCTTATGATGTTTTCTTTGTCTGTAAGTTTCTTTTTTGATCGTGTTTCTTTCTGTATTCTGTTTCTATCTTTAGATTCTGTCATTCAAGAACAATGTGTATTTGGAGTCTTCCTATTTGAGTCTGTTTTATTTGAAACCCTTCAGGCATCCTGGGTCTCAGTGTCTGCATTCCTCAACTCTGGGAAATTCATATCTATAATTTCTGGGAAATTCTTATTTATAATTTATTTAACTATTGTTTTGTTCATCCAATTTGCCTTCCTGTTCTTTAGAGACTCTGATTTTCTTATATTGTCCTTATTGAACTCACCCCATAGTTCTCTGGTATGCTATTAATTTCTTTACAGTCATTTTTCCACCTTCTGTTTTCTAGTGGTTTTCTCCATCTCATCTTGGAGCACCTCAATATTTTCCTCAGTTGCTGTTAGTCTGCTTCTCAAAACTTCTATTGATTTTTTTTATATCATCTACCATACCATACTCTTCATTTCTGTTTGCAGTTTTTTTTTTATCTCTGCTCTTATATTTTCTTGTGCTTTGCTCACTGCCTGTACCATTGTGTCTTTGAGTTCCTTAAACATCCTCACCATGGTGTCACTAAAGTAATTGTCTGAGGATTTATTGAGCTGGTTGGTGCTGATTGAGATTTCTGTGTAATTATGGTTGCTCACTGAACTCAAGGGGCTTTTACATGTTTCCCCATGGGTTTGCTGTGCTCCTGATGTGCTGAGGGTGCATCTTTGTAGATGACTTCTCTGGGACTCTCTGAGGTATTAGGCTGGATATTACTCTCTTCCTTCCCTTCCAGTCTTCACCAATGATAGGAAGTATAACTGAGTGGTGTGATTTTTTTTTTTGACGGGGGTGGGGTGCCACACCTGGCAATGCTTCGGGCTTACTTCTAACTTTGCATTCAGGAATTACTCTGGGAAGTCCTTGGAGGACCACATGGAAAGCCAGGGTTTGAACCCGGGTTTTACATGTGCAAGACAAACACCCTACCCACTGTACTATTGTTCCAACCCAACAGTATGACTTTTAATGAGGAGTTATCACTTCAGAAGACATGGAGCTGGACCTGTTGAAATGGTAGAAGTTGAGTTTGGAGACTCGAGATTAGTTTTACCTGGTAGGGTGTGGCAGTGAGGAGAGTTTCAAAATCTGTGGATGTGAGTCCATTCAAGGGTGTCTCCTATTTCAAGGGGGCCATTACTATGTTATTAAATAATTGTTATTAATAATTAAATATGGGCCATGTTAAATAGAAAAGGGACACAGAAAGTTGGCCCCAACAGGATTTCAGTAATTGAGAATAAAGATTAGATATACAACCACCACAACTGCCAGCTTGTTCAGCCCATATTCATTAATCAGTACCCTGAGAAGTGTCCCATCAATAAAAAGTAGCCCTGGAATCAGTTTAAATCCTTCACTCCATGTAAGCTGCATTGACCTAAGAATTGGGCACTTTGTTTAACTTTGGTTTTGGCACCACTCCTGGCAGTGCACAAGGCTTGCTCCTGGCTCTGTGCTCAGGGAATCATCTCTATTGGGCGCAATACCATACGTGGGGATCAAACCCAGGTCTGTCATGTGCAAGGCAAATACCATACTATAGCTTTGATCCCAGATGAGGCACTTTAACAAATAATTCCAATGGCAAAAATGAGATGTAAAAGTCATCAGATGTTTGGAGTACACTGAAAAAGAGACAATGCGTAACTAATTCTTATAGAAACAGTCACTTGAATAACCAGAAGAGACTGAAGAGTAAGTAATAACAGGACTGGGACTGTGGCTCAGCAAAAGAGCATTTGAGGTTCTTGGATTTGATTTCTAGCACCACTAAAACAAACAAGAGAATTATTATCATAAAATCTATTAAAATTATATCTTCAGAAAAAGGTAGGATGTTATATAAAAGAATATTGGTTAAAATAGTTGAAATTAAACTAAATAAGCAAAGTATATACTAGTTTTTTTTTAATAGCGATTTGATTTTTAGAGAGTGGAGAGAAAATTGCCTTTAAAAGTATTTTGGATGGGGCCAGAACAATAGTAGAGTAGTAAGGACATTTTTCTTGAATGTGTCAAAACCTGGGTTCAGTTCCTGGCATCCTATATGGTCACCTGTGTACCATCATTAGTAACCCCTGAGCATTGCAGGTGTGGCCCCAAACCAAAATTAACAAAGTATTTCTGATGGAAATAAACTCACAGATTAAGTTTTAACAGAACACCTTGTTAAATTAATAATTTACTTTCTATTTAAGGTGCTGCATTTTGGGATGTTATTCCTCAGAGGATTACTTTCTTGAAAAAGAAGGCATTTTTCTTATTTTGGACTTATTGGCAGTAAGTATGATTACAACAATTGTCAAAAAAAGAAAAAGATGTATATGTCCTTATTGACCCTTTCCAAATAGAAAATACTGTTTTATGATTAAATCATCTTCAAGTGTTTGTTTTAAAAAATTTTTCTCTGGGCTGGAGCAATAGGGCCTTTGCCTTGTACGTGACCAACCCGGGTTCAATTCCCAGCATCCCATATAATCCCCCGAGCACTGCCAGAAGTAATTCCTGAGTGCAGAGCCAGGATTAACACCTGTGCATTTGGTGTGGCCCAAAAAGCAAAAAATTAAAAAAAAATTCTCCTGGAAATTAATAAATATCAATTTTATCATGTAAAAACTCTAAAAAAAAACTCTAAAACATTTCTCCAATGAAGAAATGTTTTCTAATGTAAGTGTTCCCAAATCTGGGTAACAGAATTTATTTGATGGTTTATTTTTCCACCAACCTTATATATGCAAACATTTTTGAACTATAGACTACATCAAACTCATGACTATTTATTAATAACTTCTAGCTGAGTACTGCAAGGACTGCGTTAAACAAAATAACAATCAGCACTTTTTTCTTTTCTTTCTATTAAACAACTATGATTTATAAAATTACTCATAGCTGAATTCTAGACATACAATATTTCAGCTTCCATTGCACCACTGATCCCACTACCAGTGTCAGCTTCCCTCCACCAACATTCCCAGGTTCTCTGCCCTTCTGCAGCCTGCTCTCCTGACAGGCACCTTTCTGAGTTTGGTTGTTAAAATTTGGGTCTCTTGATTTCAGTGTTGTTGACTCTGTGATTTGGATATTTGGCTCTATCATTCCTTAACTCCACTTTTGTGCCTTAATTCCCTGAGCTATTCTCCTGTTGTTTCTTATCTGTCTCTTCTCCTTCTCCACCTCCCCTCCACTTTTTCTTTCCTTATCCTCCCTATACTCTAGGGCGAAGGGATCAGCACTTTTAAAGAACTGTATGTAGTCCATAACTAATGCCAAGTGTAGTATGTTTTGGGCCACTATTTTACAGAATGAGCAGGAATGAGAATAAGAAACTTCCAGTAAAAGCAGTTGTGAAGCTACCAAAGATCCTCAGTTATCTAACTCAAAACAACTTCCTACTTACCTGAAGTCTAATTGGTTCTTAGTTAAGATGATGTGAAGAGTGTAGTTTTTTAAATTTTTTATTTATTTATTTTGCTTTTTGGGTCACACACGGCGATGCTCAGGGGTTACTCCTGGCCCTGCACTCAGGAATCACTCCTGGTGGTGCTCAGAGAACCATATGTAATGCTGGGAATTGAGCCCGGGTCAGCCGCGAAAGGCAAATGCCCTACCCCCTGTACTATTGCTCCAGCCCTCGAAAAGTATAGTTTTATTTCATGAAAACTTTGGAAGATATTCTAGTGCAAATTTCTAGCTATGTCACTACCTGTGATAGCTATCATTCTTTATTGTGTTCACAGAGCAATCTACTTTGATTTAATAAAACCTTCTAAAGTTATTTTTGTCCCCTCATCTCAGGAGAATGAGTTGGTACTTGAGATGAGAGCAGACTCAGTAAGTATAACACACAACAAAAATAAGTAAATAATAATATAAAATTATATACCACTTTAATAAAAAGGAATGATTCATAACCAGAAACCCTGGAAAAGCTCAGAAAATTGAACGTAATACTGAAGGTGGTATTTGTAGTTCCGCTATGGCGGTCCTAAATGATGCATTGACCACCATGTTTCTCTGACTAGGGTGCAATATGCCCATAGGCTCAGATTGATAGATTAGAAGATAAAAGTCTCCAAATGAATTTGTCATAGTTTCCTGAAATTTGCTCTTACTCAAAGTTTAATGAGGTTTTCTTTTTGGCATGTATATAATAAATGGTTAAACCATATATTTATTTGAAAATTACGTATAAAATTTAAAAGACATTACTCACGGTGTTCACTAGCCTTTGCTAGGTTTCCTTGATGGAAAAGAATGAGGAAGATTAGTAGGAGATGTTATTTTGCACAGAGCTTATGAACATAGGCTGGGCTCAGGATGACTGAGACCTCCATCCTTTTTTAATTCTTAGTGCTTTATTAACTTACTAATTACATTGAGTATTTTGACATAAAATTGTTCTAAATGAGTCTTAGAGTCTGAATTTTATTTCAATTATTTAGAAAAAACTTACTGATTAATATAAATAGTTCTCCTTTTTTAAAGCATTATTATATTTATTGCGTTTTTTTTCCTTTCTTGTTTCCTTGCAAAAGTTGAGCCAAAAAAAGTTCTGTAATCTAATACTTGGAATAATGGTTGAATTTTGTGATAATCCTAAGACTACAGCTCATGTCAAAGCTTGGCGAGGAAAGAAGGATCTGACAGCTGCTAGTCTTTTAATTAAATTATGGAGAAAGGAAGAAAAAGAACTAGGAGTAAAACGTGATAAATATGGGAAGATCATTGGTGAGTATATTTATAATTGTTAGAAGAAATGAATGTATATTTTAAAAAGATTTTCAAAAGATATTAGGAAACAAATATTCTCATTGTTTTAGAGAGTATTTTTCAGGAAATAGCACTTAGCTATATTCTTTAACTTAAAAAAACTAGCTCATACATAGTTTGTAAAAATAAGTTTCTTTGTATCACCTGCCTTTACAACTAAAGTCAGTAATATTTTATTTGCAAATTAAATCTGGAGCAGAGTTAGAATACTTAAAATTAATTTTATAACATTTTTCATATTTCAAGTGATTTATAGTTAGACAATATAATTTTAGGAGACATTTTCTAAATAAAAAATGAAATGTTTATAAATTTTAATTGCGAGATTCTAAATTAATGAGGCTAACCTCATTAATTACTGTGGTTTGTCTAAATTGCTAATAATAATAATTTTTAAATTAAGACATTTTTTGCTTTTGGTATTCATATCATTTTTTAATTATGATTATCTAGAAATCATATAATATTTTTGTTTTGATTTTGGGCCACACTCAGAGCTGGCTTCTGACTCTATGCTCAGGGATCATTCCTAGCAGTGTTCAGAGAACCAGTTGTAGTGCTGGAAACCTAACTAGATTGGCCATAGGCAAGTCAAGTGCTTAACCCCTGTGCTATCTCCCAGGCCCCCAAAAAATCATCTTAGAAATATAACATTACATAGAAAACAAAAACAAAGAAGATTACATCATTATTAAACTTAGACTGTTCAATTTCTTGATCTCAAAACTAAAAAATTTATCTACATTAAACTTTATCTTAAAGCAATTTTATGAATTTTTTTTAGTTTATGGAAATAATAAAAATGAAAGCCAATTTTTGCTGCAGATTGGGGAATAACTGATTTGTTTGTGTTTTCAAGAGTAGCCACTATTTTACTATACTTACATGTATCATATGCTGTCTAGAATAAAAACCTCAAAATGAATATTAAATCACTATATTTATCTGTCCCTCCTCTGCTTTCATGGTATTGAATGATTAGATACAAAGAAACCCCTATTTACCAGTTTTCAAGAAGAGCAGAAACTCTTGCCACAGCCTGCCAACTGCCCCACTTTAGCTGTTATGGATGTTGCTGAGAATATCAGAGCAAAAATTTATGCTGTGTTGGGAAAATTAGGTAAGAAGCCACTTGGCGTAGTCCCAAAAGCCTTTCTGTTGCAGAATGCATGTGTTATTTTGTCTTGGAGTTAATTTTTTCATAAGGTAAAGGTAAAGGTAAAGGCCCTCCCGTTGATCGTCGATTTGCTCGAGCGGGCCCAGTAACGTCTCCATTGGAGACTTTGTTGTTACTGTGTCTGGCATATCGAATACTCTCGGTAGCTTGCCGGGCTCTCCGAGAGGGGCGGAGGAATCGAACTCGGGTCGGCCATGTTGGCCGCTTGTAAGGCAAATGCCCTACCCGCTGTGCTATTTCATAATGGACAAAAATCTTTTTATACACATAAATACATGTTCCATTGATGCCAGTGTTCAGGCTGTACCCTAACCAGTGAAATTAAAATCTCTTGGTTGTGGGGCCCAGATATCAATATTTTTTGAAGTTCCCCCAAGAAATTTTATTGTGCAACTCTGTTTAAATACAAGTTAAATGTTAGGCTTAAACACTAGAATTCTGAATCAGCTGAGTTTGGTTTTTTGGGGGAGACAGCCAGTGGGCAGGGTCACACCTGACATTGCTGGGGGACCATGGGTGCCAAGGATCAAACTTGGGAACCCTACATGCAAAGCATGTGCTCTGACCCTTTGAGTCATCTCTCCATATCTTTAACCCTGAGTTTTTAAAAGTTTATCTTTTATTCTACTAAGGAAAAAGTTCTCAAATCCCCTGTTGCTTCTGAAGTTACTGCTCAGAAATATTTTTCTTCTAATTCCCTAGAAGGGATGACCTTGAAGAGATTTGTTTGGGGAGGAAACCAGAAATTCATCAAAGTAACATTTTCATAAATTGAAATTAAATTAAATTAAATGTAACTATTTGCATTTATTTTTATGATAGGCATATGTCTTTTGGAATAACTTGCTTCATTAAAGTAACTCTTGCTTTATAAAATTCCTTTAGATTTTGAAAATTTACCTGGCCTAACAGCTGAAGATTTTGTTACCCTCTGTATCATACATAGATATCTTGATTTTAAAGTGAGTACCTTCCTAATAATATGTTAACTCTACTATGGCAAAAAAAAAAGGAAAATAAAAGATCTTTTTGTAGCTGTGAACAATCATCCATGTAGCTGCATAGATCTTATTTTCCACTTTATATCTCATCCTGTTCAAAAAAACATTAATTGACTTTTTTGGAGGATAAGATTGTATTCAACTCTATCACTTTATCATTGTCATCCCATTGTTCATCAATTTATTCAAGCCAGTGCCAGTAACATCTCCATTCATCCCAGCCCTGAGATTTTAGCAGCCTCTTCTTACTCGTCTTTTCCAGCGCTGCCATATTGGAGGCTCTTTCAGGGTCAGGGGAATGAGACCCATTATTGTTACTGTTTTTGGCATATCGAATACACCACGGGTCGCTTGCCTTGGATCTAGTGGAACTTGTGAACCTAGTATTCAACTATTACTTTATGTAAAAAAGATAAATATTGCTGTCATAGAACTATTTAGAGATGTAGATAATTACTTTTTTAAAAGTATTAAGAACTAGAATTAAATTCTTAGTTACAAAAATATTAATTTGTTAATGTATGATTCATTGCTTTATATGATAATGGTCTGTTAAAGGATATTATTATTGTTTATCCTGCTCATTCCATTTTTATTGCTAAATTCTTTTGAAATCTTAGACAAAATTTTGTAAGAATTCTCTCCTAGTAGTATTTGAGCATTTTAAATGACTAAGCCCCTATTTTCAAATAAAAACAAAACTGATTTATTTATTTTTAAATGAATCACAGTGAGATACATAATTACAAACTTGTTCATGATTGGATTTCTCATATCATGTTCCAACACCTGTCCCTTCACCAGTGTACATTTCTACCAATGTCCCCAGTCTGAATTTTAAACTCTATCCTGAATATATAATTTTTATCTAAAAGTTAGGCAAACCGGATTATATATAATTTTTATCTAAAAGTTAGGCAAACCGGATTAGATGAAATTGTTAGCATTAATGAAGCTACAAGCTCAGATTCAGTTCTTGTCTTTTATTAAATAAGGGGCAGGCCGCTATTTCCCAGGGTAGTAGAGTTCTAGGGTTCCAGGAGTCCCTGTGTTCATTGTTCTACAAATTCAACTTGCTTCACTATCCATACCGGACTTTAGGGAGGAAAGCATCAGTAAGTACTTCAAGAGGATGATACTAAAGCAGCTTTTTCTGTGGCTGTGAGAAATAACCCCAAACTAGAGGATAGTACTAAAGATACTTTATTATAACTAAATGTAGTTCATGGAGCTTCATCTATGTAAACTTTATTATTGTGAAAATTTCATAAATTACTTCTGAAATTTTATGTATAACCAGTGCCCCCAAATCATTCCTAGTGCACTTAACTTGTTCCCAAGGAGGTAGGACTAGCTGTTTCACTAAGTGCTAACCCTGGAATGATCACTGAAATAAAGGATTGCCTAAAGATGTATCCTTTGTGGGAAGATGCTGCAAGGTGAATGCTAAGGATCGAATCCAGGGTCTAATATATGCAAAACATGTACTCAACCACTGACCTGAAATTCCCAGCCCCTAAGAACTTTTAAAATTTAAAACTTTGACCTAACAGATTGGAGAAATATGGAATGAAATATATGAAGAAATAAAATTAGAAAATTTGCGACCAATCACTACAGATAGAAAACTTTTGGATTCCATTACAACAGCATCAGAAAATATTGGCAAGATGGTTGCTACTCTGCAAAGTGAAATGATTGAAAGCCAACTACGCCAAGACATGCAGAATGAACAAAAAGTGTACTCAAAAGTAAGCCACACATACCACTGAGGCAAAATGAATTTCAGTATAACTAATTGAAATAACCCATGGGATATATTTGACTTTGTTGTGAATATTTCATCATTTAGTTTTCTCTGACAATTACTTTCAGTGTCTTGGTGCAGTTTTTTTTTTTTTAAAGAAACCACAGCGTTCAGAGCTTGAGATTTAACTGCTGCATTCAGTAATTCTGAAGGCAGAATATCTGCTTTTTTGACCATTGGTCACTGGCTCTTGTAAATATATTAAAAATCGACCCCAATTACTTTTTTAGAAGTTGTGCTGACTTAGATATTTCTTGTACATGATTTAAATTTGATAATGTATGATACACTAGTCAAGGGCATGTGTCCTGATTATATATTTTGTGACTAACCTGTTGAGAACTATAGTCTTTGCAGCTGTTTCTAATTGTCTCCCTAGACTACATTATTACAGCAGACTCAACACCTTCACAAAATACCTTGTCTTGCAGCAGTCATAAGTTAAAAGTAGTTTTACCAATATTATCTTGCTTAAATCATTACCAGTGATGGCAGAAAGCTTATTTTCTCCTAAGATTGTAGCTGTTGAGTCATTTTATAGATTGTTATGGTTTATAATTAGTCTTTCAGAGAGCTATTGTTATTTTTGTTTCACATTTGTAACAACTGTTTCATATTACATTTCATGAGGAGAAATTCATACCTTAGCCACATATTGGAAGAAGGACTTTCTTCATTAATTTAAAATTTTTCTTAATTTAAAAATATTCAGCTCCATAGATTATCCAGTCCTTTTTCTGTACAGCCTCAAATTTTACCTTGGCATAACTGAATTTCTTTCAAAAAGAAAAGTAAAGTAAAGTAAGTAAAGGCCCTCCCGTTGATCGTCGATTTGCTCGAGCGGGCCCAGTAACGTCTCCATCGGAGAGTTTTGTTGTTACTGTGTCTGGCATATCGAATACTCTCGGTAGCTTGCCGGGCTCTCCGAGAGGGGCGGAGGAATCGAACTCGGGTCGGCCATGTTGGCCGCTTGTAAGGCGAACGCCCTACCCGCTGTGCTATCGCTCCAGCCCCTCAAAGCAGAGTGGCGCAGCGGAAGCGTGCTGGGCCCATAACCCAGAGGTCGATGGATCGAAACCATCCTCTGCTATCAAAAAGAAAAAGCTTTTCAATTCTTTTGGTATCCTGCTATAGAAACTGGAGCTCTTAAATATCTTCCTCATTTCAGATACACGCCACACATAAACAACGAGAATTGGCTAATAAATCATGGGAAAATTTCGTGGCTAGAACATCAAATGCTAAAACGTTAAAGGTAGGTTTTTATAGTACTATGATATCCATGCAAATAGCCCACTTTCATATTTTTTCAGGAAAAAGTGCTTGTTCATCTTTTTCTATTTTTTAAGCTTTATGTAGAATATTGGCACTATAAGAAGAGCCTCATGTATAATGTAGCATAACCAACAATAGGCATTTTCAAACTTAGAATACAGTTCTAGGTTTTGTTTGGTTTAACTGGGAAGCAGAAATTGTCATCCTAACTTCTATGATGATAATCATAGAGAAAATGTGCTTGTACTTTTTATCTGATCCTTATCGTTGATTCTTTTTTGTAAGAAACTGTGATAGTCAGAAAAAATGCCATCCACACTACTTTCTCCCACAGTGTATGCTGTTCATGTGTTCCAGAAAGATTCTACTGAAGCTTATGAGCAGGGAGAGGTTAAACATACTTCTGGAGAAATAGGATAAACTGTTTCAGCTAGATTCTAGAAAGTCATCTAAAAAGTTTATAATGCTCTTGTTCACTTGAAATATGTGAGTTACATCATGATTTCCAAAACCAGCATTTTTGTGTCATTTTTTCTGTACATACTTTGTATATATATTTTATGTAATATCATAATTCTTCCTCTAGACAAAATTAGTTTGTTTTGTTTTGTTTTTCTTTTTAACCATATCAGTGGTGCTCAGGGTTTTGTGCTCAGTGATCACTCCTGGCAAGACTTGAGGGGATTTATTTATTTTTTTTTATTTTTAAAATTTTTTATTTTATAAAATAGTTCACAATATTTGATTACATTTAATATTCAAACACATCCCACTACCATTACACCTTCCCACCACCATTTTTTGGGATGTTTCCATCCCAAACCCCAATCCCTGCCCCAAAGCAGAAAATAATATATTTTGCATTGTTTGTTATGAAAAACCACTGTAAATGCTACAAAAAAGTATCCTTAGAGGAAAGAGTGTGAAGATTGTTGTATTTCACTGAGGGGCCATTTAGCCCTTCTATAAGAGATCACTAACATGTTATTAAAGGTTGAGCCTTGTGTGCTTTTATATATATGTCTGTAAAATAATATTTCTAAGATTGGTTGCCTCATACTCTGTACCCCATCAAAATGTGGTACGGTACTCTTGGGGTATGGGTAGGTATGTGGTGTGAAGTGTTGCGTGGTCCAGGAATAGGTTCTTCCAGGAACAGGTTTTTGGCTGCTTGGGGCAGGGAGGGGTCTCACCTACCCACCTCCAGGGTGCCCTGAGTGAAACAGCCTGGTGTGGGATTCGGCAGCATGGTTATGGTGAGTCATGTTATGCTCCCTTCCAGGAGAGAAGGACATGTGTGTCTGGATGGTGGTGGCTGATGACGAGATTATCTGGCTCCAGCCAGAGGTGTCTTATGGGCTGGACTGCTGAGTTGCAGAGACGGGGGATATGGGTGCAGAATCCCCATTCCCGGTCCCATTGAACCCAGAGTTTAGTCACAAAGTTACACATACCTGGGTCTTCCGGGAATTCATTCATGGGTGAAGCTAGGCCCTGAGAGTGTGGAGAGCGGTCGTGAGCATGAGGTGGTTGAATTCTGGAGGTTTTCAGCAGCCACGGCTGGTTCCCTTGGGGCATGGATGGGTCTCATCCTACCCCTTCCGGTGCAGCCTGAGTGAAACAGCCTGGCGTGGGGTCCAGTGACATGATTACAGCATCATGTTATGCTCCCTCCTGGGAGAGAAGGACATTCTATCTCGACTCTAGGGGATTTATATATGTAGTATCAGGAATTGAACCTGAGTTGGCCTCATGCAAGACAACTCAATGATCCACTGTATTATTGCTCTGGCCCCTCTTAAGGAAATGTTAAATGTTAAATTAGTGTAGCCATAATAAAAATAGGAAGGACACCCTCAGGTCCTGTTTCCTCCTTCTCACAAAAAAAGTTTTCTCAAATTTACTTACAAAATAGCTTCAGAACAGCCTCTCCTTTAAGGATCAGTTCATAAAAATCAGCCGTTTCCATGCAGACCAATTTATGTCTCATGTTTCTCCTATTCTAGGAGCTAGAGCAATAGTGTAACAAGCAAGTTGCTTTCCTTGCACATGAAGGAGTGATTCCTGAGTGTAGAGCCAGGAGTAACCCCTGAGCATTGCTGGGTATGATCCAAAAGCAAAAATAAGAAACAATCCTCCCGCTCTAGGACTTCAAACATTACTTATAAACAAATCATGTGACATTATTCTAGATGTTTATTTCTATTTGTTTTTTTGTTTGTTGTCACACCCAGAAGTGCTCAGGGGCTACTCCTGGCTCTGCACTCAGGAATTACTTCTGGCAGTGCTTGCTCGGGGACCATATGGGATGCTGGAGATTGAACCTGGGTTAACAACATGCAAGGCAAACACCCTCCTCTCTGTAATATTGCTCCAGCCCCTATTCTTGATGTTTAAAACATTTAAGTGTGTTCAATGGAGTACTATGTAGCTGTCAGAAAGGATGAAGTCATGAAATTTACATACAAGTGGTACTACATGGAAAGTATCATGCTAAGTGAATGAGTCATCAAGAGAGGGACAGACATAGAAAGATTGCATTCATCTGGGAAACATAAAGTAACAAAATAGGAGACTAATACCCAAGAATAGCCAAGATAAATACCAGGAGGTTTACTCCATGGCTTGGAGGCCAGCCGCACACTCTAGGGGTAAAGGCAGTTCAGATAGAGAAGGGAGCACCAAATAAAGGGTGTTGGGAGGATCCTCCCAGGATGGGAGAAGCATGCTGAAAGTAGACTCTAGACCTAACATGATTGCCACTCAGTGCCTCTTTTGCAAACCACAGCACCCAAAAGGAGAGAGAGAACAAAAAGGATTGCCCTGCCACAGAGGCACGTTGGGATGGGGGGATATGGGTGGGGTGGGGTGGGGTGGGAGGGATACTGGGATTAGTGGTGGTGGAGAATGGGCACCGGTGGAGGGATGCGTACTCGATCATTGTACAACTGAAACCCAAGCACAAAAATTTGTAAGTCTACAACTGTACCTCATGGTGTTTCACTAATAAAAAAAATTTAAGTGTTGAATTTTTAATATTTAACTTATACATTTTTTTGATTTACAGAAATGGGCTGTGGAGGTACAGAAGGTGGTTGTAAGACCCTGACACAATTATGGAGAGAATTTGGGGAGGAGGGGATGCAGTGTTGGAATATTCTATGCATGAAACTGTACCATAACAGTACTGTAAAGCATAGAGCTTCAAATTTATTAATTTCTTTCTTCCATTCTTCCTTCCTTCTTCCCTTCCCCTTCCTTCCCCTCTCCCTCCTTCCTTCCTTCCTTCTTTTTCTCCCTCCCTCCATCTTTTCTTACTTCCTTTCTAGTTTCTCTTTCTTTTTTTTTGTTATTAGTGAAACACCATGAGGTACAGTTGTAGACTTACAAACTTTTGTGCTTGGGTTTCAGTTATACAGTGATCGAGTACCCATCCCTCTACCAGTGCCCATCTCCACCACCAATGATCCTAGTAGCCCTCCCACCCCAAACTTATACTTTTTTATGTTGGTTTGTTTTTGGACCACACCTGGTGGTGCTCAGGGCTTATTTGTGGCTCTGCACTCAGGAATCAGTCCTGGCTGGACTCGGGGGACTTTATGTGGTGCAGGTGATTAAACCTGGGTCAGCCACTGTCTGCTGTATCTCTTCGGCCCAAATTTATGCAAAATATTTTGAAAATATATATTACTAGATAAATTTAGAAACTTATTAAATGATGTGCCAAAAATTTAACCTGATTTCTTTAGGACCAGCTTATTTATTGGTCATATATCTATAAGTTTGGAAGTCTCTACATTTTCACATGACTGGTCTCTTCTGCATTGTATGCAAGATGTAACATGCTAATAAGCCTCTTCTCAGACTAGATAAATGTAGACATTAGTAAAGCCTAGTAAAGGATTAGCCAGACACAACTAAATGAACTTTGTATACTTCATTGTAAGTACCATAGCTAATGTTTTAATAGAGATTAATATTATTTTCTAATTTTAAAATCTTTAGAAAGCAAAAAGACTCCAGGAAAAAGCTATAGAATCCTCTAGATACAATGAACGACCACCAAATGCGGTATTTCATCGGACAGATATTAAAGGCCTTAACACAACAGTAAGTTATTTTTTCTCTGTAGGTGTTTTGGTTGATACTGAATATAGCCACCAAAGAAAGTTATTTCCAGTTAAAATTTAGTCTCATATTTCTCTTTTCTCTATTTAAATGTCACATACTTGGGGACCTGAAATGATAGTACAGGAGGTAAGGTGCTTATCTTCAATATAGTCAACTGGGTTTTGATCACAAGCACCCCATATGATCCTGAAGCACCACCAGGAATAGACCCTGAGCTCAGCTAGGTATGGCTCAAAAACAAAGAATTTCACATCATTCATTTTTTTTCTTTGCATTTTGGGTCATACCCAGCTATGGTCAGGGGTTACTACACTCAGGAATTACTCCTGGTGGTACACAGGGGACAATATGGAATGCCAGGAATCAAACCCAGGTTAGCCGTGTAATATTGCTCCAGCCTCACACGGTTTATTTTCATCCCTAAGGTACCTCATCCTTACTTACTGCTGGTTTAACTCAGACCTATACCTCTAGGATTCCCAAGAAACTTATACACACATTAATGTAAATATTACTTCTTATGGTTCTCTGCTAGAAAATATGTAGTGCCTCCTTTGCCAAAATACTGTATCCCTGTTGTCCATATCTGGACATATAGTCCCCAGGTTGCAATACTAATAACCAGAAGTAGAATCAAATCTATTTTTCCTAGTTCCAAAGTCCTTATCTTTCCTTTATGCCAGTCTGCTTCCTAGTAACTTATGATTTACTTTTTATGTGTTTTCCCTAAAAGCATAAGTATGAATGGGTAGGCCAGATGATAGTACAGCAGATTGGGCACACTTTATGGTCTGAGTACCACCAGGAGTGATCCTGGAGCACAGAGCCAGGAGTAAGTCCTGAGCACCACCAGGTATGACACAAAAACCATGAAAAAAGAAAAGAAAATAAGAACAGATTTTGCCCTTATTGAAAATGTTGTAAATGGACTCCTACATATTGGTTTTTTAGGTGCCCACTGGTCGGGTAGTCACAGTGGAAAGTACTCCTAACAGACTGCTGGGAGGTCCTCTGGCTGATACAGACATTGCCGTTAAGAAGCTGCCTATTCGTGGAGGAGCCTTACAAAGGGTGAAAGGAGGGAAAACTGAGGATGAACCAAAGAAGAATGCTGCAACATGAGTACTCTATTTAAAAATAAATCCTGCTTATAATTTTTTAGTCAAAGATATCTTTGTATACAAAAATAAAGCAAATATTTTAGAATGAAAGTTTTTATATTATAAAATAAAAGCAAACATAGTTTATTTTTATTAAAAATATAAATATATAGCCTAGATAAGCTATCACTGATTTCTTTGGAAAGACTACCAATGTTCTTCACTGAAATTGTAAAATATATTGTATGGGTTAAGCATCTGCTATAACTGAATGAAGACAAAATAAAACACTGGCTCTGTAGCTATGAAATCTAGGAATAATTAATACTATAAGCATTGTTAACTCTAGGGACTGAAAGTATGTGAACAGGACCTTCCAGTGACTGCTTTTATCACAAAAGTCTCTGCAGCTGCCCCTGAGCTTGGAATCCCTCACTGACTACATGTCAGAGGCCACACCTCATGGCTTTGACCATAACTAAGTACTATCTACTCCTGGAGCCGGTATCAGGTAACCCTTACCCAAAATATGTGAATGAAATGGGGATCTGGATATTGTTACCAAAAATATATGTAACAATAAAATTTTGTGACAAATACGTTGATCAAAGTGAAATAGGTTTATCTTTGTTACAAAAAGCAAAAGCTAGTCATGAAGTGAACAATAAAACTTGAAATGCAGATGGTCTTTCTCTTAATATATGCTAAGCAAATTCTAATATTACTTTAATGGGAAAGAGAAAGGGAGATTGAGGAGGGTCTTCCAGCCTTTGGGGTAGAGGATCTTTCCAAAGAATAAAAGGCTGATACCGTAAACGCTGGATGTAGAACCAAATATGTGTGTGTCTGGATGATATTACGAGGTTTTTATAGTCTTTCTCCACTCTCATGAGTCCCCTTTTCTACCCAGAAAGCCACATAATTGAGTTCATGTGCAGGACAGAGAGATAGGAAAAGAGTGAGAGACAGACAGACAGACTGACAGACAGAAAGACAAGAGCTGTCTAGATTCTAGCCCATTGTTGGCACTCAGCACATACTGGTTATATGTCACAGCAAGCTCTCCAGTAGAACAAGCCCATACTTGTTGCATTTGTCAAATTATTATGTAACTATTTCATCTTTGCTACATTTGAAACTACCTACCTGATGCTACCAAATGAAGAGATAGGAAGATAGTCATCGAATTCTACTTTATTTATTTATTTTTCTTTTTGGGTCACACCCGGCATTGCACAGGGGTTATTACTGGCTCATGCACTCAGGAATTACTCCTGGAAGTTCTCGGGGACCATATGGGATGCTGGGAATCGAACCCAGGTCGGCCGCATGCAAGGCAAACTCCCTACCCGCTATGCTATTGCTTCAGCACCTCAAATTCTACTTTCATTATCAAAAAGAAAAGACTCCATCCCTCCACTGCTCCCACGTTCTCCTACTTCATCATGCCTCTTCCTCCCCCTACTCAATCCTCGAGAAATTTCCCTTTGTGAGGATAGTAGCACCAACAACCAGAGGAGATTTACAGCTGTTGTGGTGGTTCTCATTGGAATAAATTACCACTTCACCTTTGACCCACATTCTCTCATCCTGACCTAACTGATCATTCTCCTTATGGTCACAGCTGTAGATCATATATATCAGTTCATTGGTGATCTTTGTTCTCTCTTGAATCCCTTTCTCTATTACTAATATACCTAACAAGATAGTAGAAAATAGTGTTATGCCCAAGATTCAGATCCTTAGTCACGGAGAGACCAAATCCACACACAATAATGCAAAAACAAAGGAACTTTATTGCCAGCTCAAGCTGTGGTCCAAGTCTCATCCAAGGCAGTGGAGTCTTAACAAGGACCCTCACTCCAAATCACAAGCGGTTTATATAAGTTTCAAAGTTAAACAAGCACTATGGTAACAGTAGTCAAGCAACAGCGGTCAGGCAAGAGTTGAACAATTTCTGGCAATAGTCATTGTTGATAGGGCCTATGGTGATTGATTGAGCCCACCTGCTGGGCCCAAGGACTATCCAAGTGGAGTCTTGATTGGCTAGTTTCGCATTGTTTCATTGCTGAGAAACCAAAAATGTTTCAGTTCCAGGAACTGAACCTGAGGTCTAGCTGATTTGCCTGTCATGGCGTCAGTTTCACCCTTATAATAGAATTTGTTCCTCTCCTTCACAGGAAGTTCTTGAGTGCAAAGATTCTATGTAAAGGGCATTTACTAAGACAGGAATGAACTCCAGTAGGCAGAGCAGTAAGATCCGCCCCCCCCCCCCCCCCCCACACCACACACACACACACTTTCTTTTTAACTTTTTTTAGTTTTTTAAAGCACCACTACTTATAGTTATTCACAGGTGAGCTGTAGACATACAGTTTTCCAGCACCGATCCCACTCACCAGTGTCAACTTCCCTCTGGTGTTCCCAGATCTCCTCTCTACTTTAGCTCCTCTCCCCCCATCACCTGCATCCTAACAGACATTTTTTTAAGTTTGGTTGTTAATAGTTTGGGTCTCATGGTTTTAGTGTTGTTGACTCTGTTCTGGATATGTAGCTATGCCATTTCTTTATATTGCCAACGTACCTGAATTCCTTTGATTTCCCCTCCACATCCACACCACATACTTCCTCTCTTTTTCCTATGCCCTTGATTTCTTTCCTTCTCTTCTCTCCTCCGTATACTACCCGACAAAGGGTCATCTGGGCATTCCTCCTTTAAAACATTGCATTCCCTTGTCCAGTTATTCTATTTCTACATATAAGTGAGATCATCCTCCTGTGTTTGTCCTTCTGGCTTACTTCACTTAACATGATACTTTCAGCTCCATCCATGTTGCAGCAAATTGCATGGTTTCTTTGTTGCTTCTACCTGTGCAATATTCGGTTGTGTGTATATACATCTTCACGATCCACTTATCTTTCTTAGACATCTCAAATGATTCCTTATCTTGGTTATTGTACTAAGTGCTGCAATGAATAACGGTATGCATCTGTCCTTTGACTGAACGTTTTTCTGTTCTGGGGAAGACACCCCAAAGTGGAATTACTGGGTTGTATGGCAGCTCAATTCTAAGTTTACTGAGATCCCATTTTTAAAAAGTACCTGAACCAGAGAGATGGTACAGGATATAAGTCAAGTGCCTTGCAAACACACTCATTGCTTTTTTACTCTCCTACACCACATATGGTCCCTTGAGCAATACCAGGAGTTGCCAAAAACCCTTTTAAAAACTCATGCATATAGAGATCATAATAAAGTGTCTATAGATAAGAACAATGAATTCTTATGGTATTTTCTAGGCTATAAGCCTTTTTTACTTTTTGCTCCCTGAAAACGAAGGTTCTTGGATAATTTGGTGGTGGTGGGAAGCAATAACTTAATACATAAAGACCATAACTACTAACATTATTGTAGGCATGTTTCCCAAACTATAATTTATTTATATATTTATTTATTTATAATTTTAATTTAATTGTTTGTGCACAGGGATTTTACTGGTTCTGCACCCAGAGATCATTCCTGGAGGTGCTTGGGAGACTACCTGGGGTACTGGGGATCAAACCTGGGTTAGTCATGTGTAAGGCAAATGCCCTACTTGCTGTACTATAGCTCTGACCCCCCAAACTGTATATTTTAAAAAAGACAAGACAAGATAGAAGACATATCATTCATTATTGTAACCAACACCTTAGTTAATAAATTACTTAATAAGTGCCTTAGTAGTATGAACTGGCAGCCCTTTGCTCAAACTCGGCAAATGGAGCAAAGTCATTAGTACAACAGGAAAGCAGCCACAAATACTATACATACTGCTAAGCATTAGTGTTACAGAAGTTAAAATGCATTATTCTCTGAAACAGTAGCACTGTATCACTGTCCTCCCGTTGTTCATCCATTTGCTCAAGCAGGCACCAGTAAAGTCTCCATTGTGAGACTTTTTACTGTTTTTAACATATCATATACACCACGGGGAGCTTGCCAGGCTCTGCCATGTGGGCGGGATACTCTTGGTAGCTTGCTGGGCTCTCCAAGAGGGACAGAGGGTCAGCCTCGTGCAAGGCAAACGCCCTACCTGCTGTGCTATCACTCCAGCCCCTGAAACAGTGATAAACTAAAAATGAAGTGTGATTTGGACTGACAACATTTAAGGCAGTCTGTGATGTCTGTGTAGATTTTCTATGTAGATTTCTTCTTCGATGTAGATTTTGCCTACCAGGAAAAGGAAAGGTAAAACACACATGGTTTTCCTACATGTGTATTTTACAGCAATGACAATTGCTATAATTACAATTCTGTGCAACAACACTGTGTTTGAATTATACCTCCAGTGTACCCTCAGGCTCAGTGAGTACTTGCTGAATGAATGAATTTTTTTTAAATAATATTCTACATACAAATACCATAATTTGTGCCATGGGAGAAATTCTGAAGGACGTTTTAACAGAACATGGTATCTAAGTACCTGCAAAAAGACTTTAAATTACTTCAAAACAGCTCTAAAATGAGAATACTAGCTTTGTCAACTGTTACATCAAATATTTTAATAATTCAATTAATATGTAAATTAAATTAGGAGGACTGGAAAATTAGTTGATTTTTAAAGGCTAACAATTTTATAGGCCCTCCCGTTAATCGTCGATTTGCTCGAGCAAGCCCAGTAACATCTCCATTGGAGACTTTGTTGTTACTGTGTCTGGCATATCGAATACTCTCGGTAGCTTGCCAGGCTCTCCGAGAGGGGCAGAGGAATCGAACTCGGGTCGGCCATGTTGGCCGCTTGTAAGGTGAACGCCCTACCCGCTGTGCTATCGCTCCAGCCCAATTTTATAAATTAAAATAAAGCAGAGCTATAATAAAAATTGTAAAATTTTTAGATGTAATTGACATCTAGCTGAACAATTTTGTTCTAAAGTTATAATCTTGCTTTATGTCACTGAATTTTTTACCTTCAATCATTTGTATACAGGTTGTCAAAGGCATCTATTCTAAAGAAAACTGTTGCACTGTGTCTCTAGCTAATTCTTCAGATGATCTGTAGAATAAGAATAGGGAATCTTCTTGTCTATCTCTCTACTCATTTTTATAAGACCCTTCCTTCCAACAAATCTTAATCTTAAGGATCCAGATGTTGGAAAGAAATTTTAAATCTAGAAATTCATTGGACTACAAATAATTATGTAAATTATTATTAGTAAGTTATATGAATAATTGACTAATAGCACTAATAGCATGACAGCACAGCGGGTAGGGAATTTGCCTTGCATGCCAACAACCCAGATTGATTCCTCTGTCCCTCTCAGAAAGCCTGGCAAGTTACGGAGAGTATCACACCCACATGGCAGAGCCTGGCAAGCTCCCTGTGGCATATTCGACACACCAAAAACAGTAACAACAAATATCACAATGGAGACGTTACTGGTGCCTGCTGGAGCAAATCAGTGAACAACGGGAGGACAGTGCTATTATTAGTCAGTTATATGAAATATTTGCAAAAGAACACTTGGAAACTATGCAGTCCATTCTTCAATACTGAAGGTTTTTTCCCCTTTGGGCCACACCCAGCAGTACTCAGGGTTACTCTTGACTCTGCATTCAGGAATTACTCCCAGTGGTGCATGGGGAACTATATGAGAAGCCAGGTATAGAACCCAAATCAGTTGCATGCAAAGCAAGTACCCCACTCACTTTACTATTGCTTCAGTCCAATACTGGAAATACTTTTTAAATTATTATTAAAATTTGTTTGAATCACTGTGGGATACAACTACAAAGTCATTCATGGTTAGGTTTCAGTCATACAATGTTCCAATACCCATCCCTTCACCTGTGTATATTTCCTACCACCAATGTTCCTTGTTTCCCTCTGCTGCTCTCCCTACCTGTCCCCCACCCTGTTTCTATGGCAGGTATTTTCTGTCTGTCTGTCTGTCTGTCTGTCTCTCTCTCTCTCTCTCTCTCTCTCTCTCTCTCTCTCTCCCCTTCCCTCTCCATCTCTCCCTCTCCCTCTCCCTCCCTCTCCTTCTCCTTGCCCCATCACCCTCCTGGGCATTATGGTTTGCAATATAGGTACTGTTCTTGTCCAGAGTGATCATTGATCATTTCCAACTAGCACTGTTTTACGGGTCCTTTTCTATCCTAACTGTCCTCCCTCCACCCTTCCACTTGTGGGAAGCTACCAATACTGGAGATTCTTAACCTCCTGAAGTTATATAATATGGTGAACATATATAGAAAAACCATAGTGAAGAGTCTATTGCTTCATAAGAATTTCAAAGCAGTCCCTAACTCAAAGAATGTCAGAGCGACTCAGAAAGTGAAAATTTTCCTTGGATCAAGGCTATTAAGCTGCATTCAGTATTATTTTTGATGCTTTAAAAAATTGTTTAATTGAACTTGACTGTGCTGGGAGCAACTTACATAGAAGGAAAACTAGCATTGTTGGGATATTTGACAACAGTATTATACACCATGATAGTAGTGCTTAGGAATCCCATGGGACAGATAACATTTAGTTATTAATCCTAGCAAAATCTGGACTTCTGAAACAAGTAGTTAGGTTCATAGTGCACTGCGCATCTTGAAATTGTTTTTGAATATCTCTTCTCCTTGAGACGCAACAGACCAAAGTTTTGGCTATTGCCTAGGGCCTAAATAATGGCATAGTATAGGCTTGGTGGTGGCAACAAAGGGGCTTGGGAGTCACTTAGGTTTGATCCCTTGCACCATGGTGGGAAGGAGGTCAAAAGAAAATAAATACTCCTATTGAACCAGTACATAATATTGAAGGGGAAAAAAGAGGTGGATGAAAGAATGAAGGGATGGAGAAAGAGATGGGATGGGATGGGAAGAGAGGGAGGGGAGGGAAAGGTGAAGCAAAAGAGAAAATGAGCTAGGAAAGAGGAAGGGGGAAGAAAGAAGGGAGGAGAAGTAAGGAAAAAATAGAGGAATAAAAATATAGTTCTATTACATAGAAAAATACTTCAGTATATAAGAAGGCTTGGTAATTAAATGCACATTTCAAGTTCACACAGTACTTTGCAGCAGAGCTTACTTTTAAGACAATACTGAGGCCGGAGTGATAGTACAGTGGGTAGGGCATTTGCCTTGCATGCAGCCAAACTGGATTCAATCCCTGGCATCCCATATGGTTCCTCAAGCACCACCAGGAGTAATTCCTGAGTGCAGTGCCAGGAGTAACCCCCGAGCATCGCTGGGTGTGACCCAAAAAGTAAAAAAAAAAAAGACAATATTGGCTTTAATTTTGGAAGTTTTAAATACAATATTATGTATTTTGTATTTTTGTATTTTACTCTATAAAATTTGCTACAGTATTGCTCATTAACTTTATTAAACTAGTAAATTTGCATTTTAAGTGGTTTTCCTTCAAACAAAGATGCTTTACAGATGCTCTCTAAATGAAAAATTATTGACAAATTACCTGAAAAAGATGGAAATGCTAATCCAATATGACTGTTAAATAACTGCATATCAACAAAAATACAATCATCAATATTAAAGAATTTGAAATAACAATTTTGATTAATACTATAGAAAATAATTTGACCACTTGAATGCTGATAAACTTTCAGGATGTATCATCTTGCTTAAGGTATTTTCCAAGTTCTCATTCTTAAATGTAGAACATGTCTTGTAAAACCCAGTCCTATAAGGTTAGAGAGGAAAAAATGTTAACATTTTTCTCTAATATGACATATAAAGATTCCCCTTTTTATACAGCTCTATTGAAAAAAATTAAAAATGTCAATGAGGTCTCATTCCTTTAAATGTCTTTAAAAATACAATGAAAATATAGGCGTAGGATGTAGCTAAGCAGAGAACACTTTCCTTGCATATATGAGGCCGTGGGTTTGATCCCTAGCACTACCAAATATACATGTATATGTGTGTATACATATATACTTATATACAATATGAATATTAGGTTAGATTAAGTTATTATAAACTATGCATGTGGGAAAATAATTTTAGTGACCTAACAAAATGACATATTCCAAAGTAATTTAGAATCAGCTGTTTGCACATCAGAGCTTCTATGGTTTCTAAATGATGTCAAATCAGTAAAGGATTAAAAAAAAGCTTATCATTTGTTTGCTTGTTAGATACAAAATCTGAAGGAGTAAATATTGACTTTTTAATTCTGTTTCTTTAATTACACATTTAGATTACCTCTAGTTATCTTCTGTGGAAAATCAGCCACATGAGGCATCACTTGTCTGCGGCCCATTCCATGAGATCTTGAAAGCAAGCAGTCTACATACATGTCCCAAAAATCCTGAGCTATACTTAAGAAGACACTATAATGTCTAGGTCGCTGGGATTTTTGCAGGAATAGCATGAAATTCCAGAGAGCATCCACACTGTGCTCTATCTTGAGTTCTTTGAGATCTATCAGCGTCAAAGAGCAAGTGTTCCAGCACTGGAGATCAATGTCTTCTGTGATCCCAGGGCTGATGCTGGAGAGCACTCCCTTCTGAAATTCAAAATCAGCTTGAATCAGACTGACCAGAATCAGAGAGCTGAGAGGTAGGTAGAACCATCTTCTTATGGCAGAACCCATATTCTACATAGAAGCAAAAAGAAAGGGGAGGTATTTTTAATTTTAAAACATAATTATCCAATTAATTATTGTCCAGTTTAAATATTAAAGATACATACATAAACATACACATTCGGTTCTGATCAAGCCAGATTTGCCTACTATGTATTTACTGATTTTCTTTGGTTGCACACTCCTGGCCTGCTTTTGGAAAGATATTCCAATTTATTTACCAATATTCTGATAAACAGTCTTCAGGAGCCACTGAAATTCAACACATATTCCTAGTGATATAATAGATTAGTTTCATCCAAATCTCTGGAAGAGATTTGGGAAAACAAAAACATATACACCAACCTTCCTCCTTTACAGATTAGGGGTTGTGGGGGGGACCCATCTCAATTAATGATAGTAAATTCACAAGTCTTCTGTCTCCCTCTCCAACTCTCTTCACCACATTTCAACCCCATGGATCTAAATGAAGCCCAGTCTATGTAGCACAGTGGGGTGGGGCAGGGGGAGAGCTGAGGGCTTTTTTTTAATTTAATGCTCGTGTTAGAAATCTATTAACCCAAGAGGCGCTGGGCTGCTAAATACAATAAATATATTAAGGATTAAAGGACCTGACGCTTCATTTCCATTCACTGAGAAATACTTATATTTTAAATGAAACACCCAGTGTCTGGTGGGTCCCCGGAGTCTTTAGGTTGTTTCTAGTTGCAGAGATTCCCAGCCACCTAAGGAACATCCAGTAAAGATGATAAAAGCCTGACAACTGGCCCTTTGTCCCGCCCCCCGCCCCCCTCCTCCCTGCAGAAAATTGATCTAAAGCATAGAGCTGGATGGAAAGGAAGAACTAAGTTGGCAATGAATTGTCTGGCCATTCCAGTCTGGCTTGGGAAATGTCTCTGAAACCAGCCCCTTGACAGCCCCCGGGAATAGGGTGGGGGAAACCAGACCCTGAAAACATTTCTCGATTCTCGCTTTCTGTCCTATCCTCGCCGCCCGCCACCTGCCCACCAAAAGTTGGGATAAGGAGACAAACCCAACGCTACCAGTGTTAAACTTTGCTCACTGAGATCTCTCTGCACCACCGCAAACGGTGCAGATCCCTCCCGAAACTGAACTGTTGCGCGGCCGGAGGAGGGATGACACGGAGTCTAAAAGGGAGGGATGATGATGGGACCAGAGTATTGTCCTTCGCGGAGAACTTCGGGTATCTCTGCATGGTCCCCGCCCCTGAGTAGAGAGAAAAACCCGCGTGAAAGTACCTCTCGGGCCCCACCTCGCCCGCGACGCGCTGACTGCTCCCGACTCGCAGGGACCGAGGTCTCAGAGATGCTCCTGCCGCCGCCCGGGAACTGTTCCGATGCTCTGCGCTCCCCCGACTACCTCCGCTGCTCTGCGCTCTGGCACTGCGGTTTCAGCCGGACCGCCAGCCGCGCCCCTTTTCTAGGGGTCCAGGGAGCGGCACGCTTCCGGGCCCCGCCTTCACCTTCCCTGTGGGGAGCCCCCACGCGCGCACACGAGCCAACACCCCAGTGGTTCCAAATGAGTCACCGCTCCGGTGTCCTCTCTGCTCGCTCCCTGGCGCGCTTTTTTTTTCTTCTCCCAGTCTTTTCTGGGAAAGGCCCATCAAGGTAGGAGTCGGCCCTCAGACCTAAGCTCCCACGACCCAGCAGCCTCCATGGCCAGTTCCCTAGGGAGAGAAAAACTTTCATAGGTCCCCAATAAAATCCTGGAGCTCCCTGATGGATTCTAACCTGTAGCTAAATCCCATTTAGATTAAAATGACTAATACTAATATGCACACAGACACAAAGAAAGACTCCCTTCACCTAAAAACACAGTTTAACTGGGAAGACAGGCACCCCACCAAATCCCCCATCTCCCCCAACCCTTCCTATCCTTTTTATTTCCCCCCTTTTAACTTTTTTTCCCCTTCATTTTTTCTTTCTCATGCGATAAAGCAGCAGGTAGGCCGTTTGCCTTGCTTGCAATGCTGACCCTGGAGGACCTGGGTTCAGTTTCTCTGCCCCTCTCAGAGAGCACGGCAAGCTACCGAGAGTATCTCGCCCCGGGGCAAAGCCTGGCAAGCTACGGTGACTGACGTATTCGATATGCCAAACACAGTAACAAGTTTCACAATGGAGCCGTTACTGGGCCCTCTCCAGCAAATCGATAAACAACGGGAGGACAGTGACAGTGACAGTTTTAGAACCACACCTGGGAGTGCTCAGGGGCTTAGTCCTGGCCCTAAGATTAGGGATCACTCCTGGTGATGCTTTGCATATCTTACCCACTACTGTACTAACTTTCTGTAATCGCCTCCTCCCCCATCCCCATTTTTTGGTTATTTGTTTGATTTTAGTCTTCAATGGAATGAATACTCCAGACAAGTCCCTATCTGTGTAGTATTCAACAATTTCAGCCTCAACATATCATTTGGACTATCTTTATGTATAAATCTTCTATGCCAAAATTCCAAGAGCTATCACCAAATGGGACAGGATGTTAAATCAATACAAGGCTAGTTGCCTCGATCACACTTACTCTCTCTTTTTTTTTATAAAATAGTTCACAATTTTTTTTTTTTTGCTTTTTGGGTCACACCCAGTGATGCACAGGGGTTACTGCTGGTTCATGCTCTCAGGAATTACTCCTGGCTGTGTTCGGGGGACCATATGGGATGCAGGGAATCGAACTTGTGGCAGGTCACGTGCAAGGCAAACACCCTACCTGCTGTGCTATTACTCCAGCCCCTAGTACACAATATTTGATTACATTTAATATTCAAATACCAATCCCACCACTTTTACACGTTTCCACCACCGTATTTTAGGTGTTTCTATCCTGAACCCCAACCCCTGCCCCAAAGCAGAATCAAAATAATATAATATTTCCCTGTGAGACTGGTTGCCTCCTGCTTTGAATCCCATCAAATGTGGTGTGGTACTCTTGGAGTATGGATAGAGTGTGTTCTATGAAATGTATAAAGTGTCATGCAGGAAAAGGTTTACTCATGGGTGAGACTCAGCCTGAGTGTGTAAAAGGTGAGGGCTCCACTTACTCTTAAGCAGTAGTTTGTCTTCTGGGTTCTTGAGCTGGAATGGGAACCTAAGAAGAGTGCCAAACTCAATAGCCCAATTTCCCAGTCCCATCCCTAAATCCATCCTCTCACAGTTCTACCAAACTCTCCCTTACACTCTTCTTTATAGCAGAAGAGCTGTTCATTCAGTACTTCTCCCATGACAATATCTCTTTTCTTGTCCCCTCCTTATTTATGATAATCTTATGCACAAAACAGAACTAATAGAGGATTAAATTAGTTCATTCAGGTAGGATTTATACAAGTCCATCATTCACCAGATTTTCCTGTGCTTTAAGATTCTGAAATTGATGTTCACACCATTAGTCACAAATTTTTGAAGCTGGATAAGGCACTGAAAATTATCCACCTAGCAGCCACATCTTGTCTGAGATCCGGGCACTACACTTCCAAGGAAACCCTCTCCCACCAAAGCTGCTTTATAGATAAACTGGATGGTAGTCATAGTGCTCCTCCTCCCTCTGTATGAGTTTCAAGGCAAAGTGTGGACTCAGGAAACTTCAGTGTTCAGTGGCTGAGAGCGGTTCCCCTGGCTAGCCCACAGCAATGGACAATGAAGGACCAGGGGAACAGAGAAACATGTCCCCAGATGATTGGTAGACAATTTATTTCTCTCTCCTCCCCAGCATAGTCTGATCTCTCCCTCACAGCACAATCACAGCCGTAGTTTTGGTTTTAGTCCCAGTCATCATAGTTCCATCATCCTCATTCTTGTCCTAGTCCTCATAATCACCATCTTTCTAGTTCTCATCTAGTCTAGTCCTTCTCTCTCTAGCTCCCTCTTTGCCCTTACAAAACAGTTATGTAGAAATTGTGAAGGGTGGGGGCACACATAGGGGGGTTGAACATTGTCATAACAACAAAGAGAGGTAAAGTCACTCCTTTCGGGGAAATTCTAGGAGATTAACTGAAGGATAAAATCTCATCTGAGGGTTCGGCACTCTAGATTACTAGGAGATCTGCTCAAGGGCGGGATTCCATCTAGGGTGTATTGCTTTCCCCTTTCCTCAGTTAGTAATTCATTTAAAAGGTAAAGGTAAAGGCCCTCCCGTTGATCATCGATTTGCTCGAGCGGGCCCAGTAACATCTCCATTGGAGACTTTGTTGTTACTGTGTCTGGCATATCGAATACTCTCAGTAGCTTGCCGGGCTCTCCGAGAGGGGCGGAGGAATCGAACTCGGGTCGGCCATGTTGGCCGCTTGTAAGGCGAACGCCCTACCCGCTGTGCTATCGCTCCAGCCCTATTCATTTAACCAATCATAGTAAATTTACTACTTACTAATATTTCTAGTCAGTTTGTATGAACATAGTAAGAGATATATGAAAGTTAAAGGTTGGCTATTCCTGGGGATATCTCGCTATATATTCCAGACCACAGACCTCAGGCACCAGATTAGTCTTTCCTAATCCCAGCAGGATCCTTATTCAGTTACTTCTTTTAGTATCATGATAGAGTTTGTCCCATTACCATGCTCTTAACTTATACTCATGGTGCTTAACTTGTCCCCTTTCAATGCCAGGATAGCTTACAGTTTGACCTTGGTCCATACAGTCCCTTCATTGGTATTCTCCTTTTGGGAGTATTAGGAAGTAAGGGCAACTGAGGCTTAAGTCAGATAAATATGATGGATGCCCAGGATTAAATATCATTTGAGGTCAATTAACTCCCAAGCATAGCACAAACTGTCTTCTTGTGTCTGTACAAAAAAGACGTTGCTAAACCATGCAAATGACATAAAGGAAAGAGAAAAGCAATATAAGATTATTAGTGCTTGATAGAATTGGGTGAGATATGACAGCGGGTAGGGCTCTTGCTTTGCCTCAATCCCTGGCATTCCATATGATCCTCAGTGTCCTGAGCACCACTGTCCAGTGTGCTCCTCCCCCCCCCCACCATCCCTAAAAAAAGAG